GTTTTTAAAAAATGATAAATAAATAAATAAGAAAGGGAAGGAGGGCGATGGGGATATAGCTCAGTACCAAGGCCCTAGGTTCAATCTCCAGAACTGGCCCCCCCAATAGCTGGGTGGTGCACGGTGGCACATCTCAGGATGCTGTGGTGCACCACTGTAATCCCAGCACACAGGAGGCTGAGGCAGGAGAATTGCCATGAGTTTGAGGCCAGCCTGAATGACACAGCCAGACCCTGTCACCATAGGGAAAAAAATGAAACTTGGAATACTGAGGTATGTCCTTAACAACCTAGACTCAGACCCGAGGTAATATGTAATAGCTCTTGTTTTGCTGGACTTGTACCCAGGGTCTCACACTTGCCAGGCTAGTGCTCTCCCACTGAGCTATATTCCCAGCCCTTGTTAATAGCTTTTTGAATCTGTTTCTCCATCTACAAAATGGGAACAACAGTGGGACCTATGCATCAAAAGGAAGGTGAAGATCAAAAAGGAATTCATGCTGAAGGTTTATTTACCATAATGCCTGACCTGCATGAGTATTCAATAAATGGTAGGCTACTGTTGTACTATTGACTTGATAGAGGTTTTCCATTAATAAGCAAAGAAATAGAGAACGTACAGACTATGAACCCGCAGCAACTTACTAGGGAGAGATTTCCTTTATTTACTTTTGCCTGGACAAAGCACAAAAATCTTAATAACTTTAACAGCTTAATGTCCAACTTTTGCAAAAGCAAAGTGCTAATTTCTAATGAGTTTTCTACTATAAGGTGCTGTGCTGACTTCAAATTCTTACCTTTATTATATCCAGTAAGTTTTCCATTCCTATCATCTTTCAAAAAACCCAAACAAACAAACAAATCCACAAAAACAAAAGGCTAGAAATTCAACAAAAAGTTGTTTTGTTTTTCTGACACAGGGTCTTGCTATGTAGCCCAGGCTGGTCTTGAACTTGCAGCGATCTTTCCAAGTGCTGAGATGACAGGCATGCACCATCACACCAAGATAACAAAAATTGTTGGTATGATTAACTGAGATCTTCTTTTTGACTTTGGCAGTTTGCCCTTATTTGTGTGTAATAAAGGATTTTTAGGGAAAAGCAGACTATCAATGGCTGCCACAGGAATGATAACTTGGGCTTAACTGGTTGCTCCCATGGCCACTAATTTCTTGACTGGCTGGTTAAGAAGCATATGTGTCATCAAGACCTGTGCCTCTGGGGCACACCCAGCTCCTGAGATCCTATTCAGTGGTCTCGGCCCAAAGTTCTACCTGTCTCATCTTATCTCTGTAGGACCAGAAGCTCTTTGAGGAGATAGCAAACAGAAAAGACATGCTTCTCCCTACACATCAACTATGCAATTCAATGCCTGTGAACATATTACTTAGGAAATAAATGCACATTCCTTTTATGAAAGGTTCATACCTGAAGTGCTATGAACGTTGGTAAAGGAGTTATCAGAGGCACTGTAGGGCCAGGCACCAGGTGAAGGCAGCGAGGTGTTGAGGGAAGAATTAGACCCTTGAGGTGACAAAGAACAAGAAGAAAATATTGAAGATACATGCCAGAATAACCAGTGAAACCCTCAGAGTATTTCATTTAAACTTCAATAGAAGGGAAATAAAATGTATCTTAAAAACAAAGGTGTGGAAAGCAATATATTCTTTGGTTAAATATTTGTACCTGCAAGTACAAATGAAGTCACAGGCTGACAACTACCAGGGACACTGCACCTGTTTACCTGTGGTGTTATCCCGCAGCAGTTGGTGGTCAGTATCTACAATGGGAGACGTGGCTGTACCCCCCAGCACACTTCCTGGGGTGACATAGGGGTCAGATTCAGGGTCAATGTTTTGGATACCTTTCCATGGCACTCCTGGTTGGAATTCTGAGACAAGAACAACAAATGTTAGGGGTAGAAGGTTGTTCACAAAAAGATAATTTTTTTAGTAGAAGAAATGGGTTGGTAAAAGTCTAAATACTCAATCTATTGTCTCAGGTTTTCATCAGGAAATTTTAGTACATGTGCTACCAAAGCAACCATTCACAATGAAATTAAGAAAAACAATTTCAACATATATTCTTGCCAGTAGCACCTTTACAGTTTCATAGCATGTGTCTGTCTGAATATAGTAATGAACTTGACAGCATGGCTGCCCCCGCTCCTGGTACCCTGGAAGTGAAATCCAGGCCAAAAGGCAGGGAAAGAGTGGGACTATATAATCTGAGACTCATAAAAGCTGTCCAGGCACTCAAGTCAAGAACTGAGAGAGAATCTGGGCTGGAGACCAGTGATCTCTTCCATTTTCCTCACTAGATGTTGGCCAAAAATGCAAAGGAAAATGGAATTCAAAGAACCACTACTAACTAGACCATTCAGGGAAAATTAGCAGGAATAATTTTTTTTTTTGGCACTGGGGATCGAACTCCGGACCTTGCGCGTGTGAGGCAGGTGCCGGAACCACTGAGCTAAATCCCCAGCCCAGGAATAATTTAGTTTATCAGGAGAAACCCTAGACCAGTGGTGGTGAACCTACAGCACGTGTGCCAAAGGGAGCTGTTTGTTATCACTGAAAGCTCTAAAAGGTTTGCCATCACTGCCTAGACTACACATAAAAGCTTATAAATAATTCTGTGGGTCAATTCAAATAATATTTAAAGCTATGTGACAGAAGTAATACTTTTATTTTCCTAATCCTACTGAAGAACAATATGCATTATATATGAATAATATGCATTATTCATCCTATTGTAATAAATTTATACATTTTCATTATTTACAAATAACAAGCACACACAGAAGTCTAGAAGGATATAAGTGTATTTACAGAATTATTTTTATTTTACTTTACTAAATTTTCTATTTTTCTACAATCAAAAAAGATTATCCTGGGGCCAGAGATTTAACTCAGTGGCATGACACCTGCCTCACAAGCACAGGGTCCCGAGTTTGATCCCCAGTACCAAGAACAAACAAAAAACCAGATTATCCTGTTGAGTCAAGAGACACAGAGACAGAGATTATTAACAGTATCATTTCACTCACTGCCACATACCTGACACCTAACTGATAATAAATACTTGCCTAATAAATAAACCAATCAACTCAACCGACACTTGGAAAGAGCTTCCTATACATGGGAAGGATGCCAGGTCTTAGCTATAAGGTCGCTTCCTTTAGTCCCAGGCTCCCAGTCTGATGGAGATTTTCTATCTTCCCACAGTACCTATCTTAGAGTACACACCCTGCCTTTTGTACAGTAATTAAAAATAAAAGGAAAGCAAGTGCCACAGCAAAGTGTTTAGAGCCTGAAATCAACAATTAAAAAAAAATGCTATCTTAACAAAACCATTTCCTGAACAATACCTGGAGGCCAACTGGCATTGCTGGATTTACTTCCGATTTTATTTGTTGGTGGAGATTTGGCAGGTAACCAGCTATCACCAGCAGGACCCGTATGACCACCCAGTGTGTCACCAGGGATGATATCAAACTGGTTGTATGGTGACCCTCCACGGGTCTTACCAGGGGCCACTATAGCGCCTGAGAAAAGAGAGAAGTAATTAATTCATTCAGAGAGCGCTCTGGCAAAAGGAATTTTTCTCTTTTTTTTCCAGAGAAACTCAAATACAGAAAGAAACTTACAAAGTAAAAAGAATGCTCGACTAAGTGGTTGGATGAGAGAATCAGCCTATAATTAGTAAGCAGCGTGACTGTAAGAATTCATCTCACCTCCCTCAGCCTCTCAGATTCTTAGGCCCAAAAGATCGTTCTCATTCTCAAATGTCCCTTTCTGTTTTAAAATCCCATGATTTATAAAATCAATGAAATGTTTGCAACTGCTAATCATACTATTATCCCCATGGTTTCTATGCTAATCACTCACGAATGAGAAACGGGAAGAACACTAAACAAATTGTAGCACAGTGGAGAATTTGAAATGACATTTTTCTTGATGGTAACTGCTCCTAGTTCTTAAGTATTGGCTGGGCCTACGTTAGCTGGAAGCAGTAGTGTGCAGAGAGGCCACTGCAAAGAAAGGCATCTGCAATTGCTTTAAATTCCAAGGCAATGAGATAGAATTCCCACTCAGAGTCTCTGCCAACACAAGACTAGCAATGAACTCTGCAGCTCTAAAACTCATGGCCTCATACACCAAAAACAGCAATCCTTTGTCACTACATTCCCAAAGGCATTCCAGTGGCTTTGCCAGTGCCCCTTCTTCACACATTTTACACACAACGAAACAGGAAAAAAAAGCTTAAGATTCCCATAAACTAGTAACAAAAAAGTGCTTTACTTGAAATAAAATTTGAGGTGTTTGTGAGACACCATTCTACTTACTTCCCAAATGAATCTTATGTATTGTATTATGCCACTCTGTATATTCTTAGAATGCCTCTTATGTTGTTTTTTTTTTGGTACCGAGGATCAAACTTGGGTCCTTCCGCTTGCGAGGCAGGCAGCGGAACCATTGAGCTAAATCCCTGGCCTGAATGCCTCTTACGAACAGTTAAAATTATTTCTAGGATAATGTATTAAAATATTTGAGTAAATATTGAATAATCTGGATTTGCCTAACAGGAGTATAAAAATACCATCTCCATGATCAGTTAAGAGAATATTTGGACAAAAATTTGGCCGCAAAGTATATTATAGTGGAAAACAAAAAGCTCAGTTACCTTGGGGATCTCTAAGGAAATGGGAAAAACACTATCTGCAAACCCTAAAGAGGCAAGTTCACCTTCAAGAGATAGCCTCTCACATGCCATTATGTATTTATGATCATGCACTTTTCATGTCTTCAGAGACAAGGAGAACTGGTGAATCATTAGCCCAAGGAAGCAGTGAGAGTATCCAGAAGTATGAACACTGGTTACAGTGGTATTCAGTTCATAAACAGATTTTATAATTCCAGTAAATCATTACTGGTTTTGCACCACGAAATCAAATGATAATATTTAGGGATGACAGGTAGAGAGCTCCATGTGGCTCCTTCCCCATCTCCTGTCCACTCCTCAAAGAGGATGATAATAAAGGAAACCTGAAAGACTACAGACTGATTGACTGGCCGGGCTGGGCTTGCCAGGGTGCTGCAGCAGGGACAGCCTTTTATACTTGGTACCCATGGGTACAGGGGAGTCCAAGGGAATTACTATCAGATGAAACAAATATTGAAATGAAGGTTGGAAGAAGTTTGGAGACCTTTAATCGTTTTGCAGGGAAATGGAGAAACAATCGTGGTGCGGAGGGGCAGATCTACATTCATAGCCAAAGCCAAAGCCTCAAATGCAGCCCTGTAAGACATTATAACTCACAAAGAACAAGAAAGCCTTGGAAAAAGTTCAAACCCCGTGCCTACTAGTCATCTTCTGGAGTTTAAAGGGCAGAAATTTTTCCAAAGCTGGTGAACTTAACATTGCTCCATTACTCGGTAAGACACACCCATTATTTGTTTTGATCTGTTTTTAAAGAAAACAAAAACAAAATAGAATGGAGGGAGGAATAAGCTAACTGTACCCTCTCAGCCATTTCATTAGGGCTTTACCCTAATGGGTACCCAAGTTCACTGCTACTACCCTTATAATCCCACAGAAGGTGGGAAATTATGCTCCCTGTAATTAGAACTAGCACTTTAAATTCCTTGTAATTTGAAATCCACACAAGCCTAACCCTTCTCTGATGGATAAGCATAAAATTTGGGGAAAAAAGTATCAAGAGACTCATTAAGAAAAGACCTGTGATTCATGCTTCATCAAGCCCTGCCGAGTGCAGCCTGCTCTTACCATTTTTGTGCAAGCTGGCGTCCTGTGTGGCCACAGAAGGCAGTCCTTCCATCATGGAGGTCCACTGCTTGAAGCGAGACTCGGTCCCCGCCTCCTTCCCACCAACCATGCCGTAGTCCATGCTGCCAGAACTGAAGCCTGAAACCGAGAACCATACATCTCTCCTCTCAGTAAATGAGCGTTCTCAGGAACCCATGAATGCCTTGTTTGTCACTCACAGGCTACGCCACAAAGTCTCTCCACACAGAAACAAATTCTTTGACTTAAAACTCTGGCCATGGCTCTCACTTGCCAAAAAAGTTACTGCCTCCTTGTTAGGGCACGATAACACGTGTCACTGCCGTATACTAAGTCTACCTCTATGCCTGTGTGCATCTGTCTTTTCACTGAGCAAACACTGCCAGAAAGTCTACTGGCACCAGCCTTTCTCCAACTGAGGTGAAGACCACACATGAAACTAGTGTGCAGAACAGCAGCAACAGGGTACACAGGGGAGGAAAGGCTTTGCAGAGGGCCTGAGAGCCAGGGTCTAGGAAACCAAGTGCAAAGCTCTGGTACATGTCAATTAAGTGTGTTCAGTTCAGTGGGACTCCAAGAAACCCGACTGCAGACAGAGAGAGGTGGAGAGTGGCAGGGGATGGGGAGAAATGAAAAGTCATGTCATCTATGGTCTTTAAAAAAAAGGAGTTGGGACCTTTCTCCCCCTAGGATGGAATGAAATGTGTGTGCGTGTGTGTGGTGGGGCTGTGGTTTAAAAGAGAAACAAGGTGAGAATGGAGCAGATGGAAGTTGGATAGAAGCTGGGACAGTGATTTGAAAGTAGACTTTACATGAAGAAGACCCTAAAGCTGGAGATGCAGTCAGCAAAGGTTCTGAGTTCATACTGCCAGGTAAGCCCTAGGTGTCAAGCTCTTGAGTTGAGGTGGGTAATGTTTTCTCACTGCAGAGAGTAAAACAGCTGAAAGCCACATGCATGTGAGAGAGGTGATGGGGTCTCATGGGGCCACCTCCTCCTCCCTGGTTTTCCATTTGGGACAGAAAGTACATAACATTTCAAACTGATTCTCAAAAGAGAAAGGAAGGGAGGAATAGCAGAAGGAAGAAAGGAAAGGAGGAAGAGGGTAAGAGAAGAAGAAGAAAAGGCTAAAACAAATGAAACATGTAAAGGGAAGAACAATGACTACCCACAGACAAATGAGACCACATAGTGGGGAACACAACAAGAGTGGCATAGTGTAGGCATCCCAGGAGGTGAGCAAGGTCACCACATCAAGGTTACAAAGGCCTGCAGGGCTGAATGCCAGTCTCCTCTTAACCAAAAATCTGTGCAGATCCAACCAGACCAGGATCCAGGGGTTCATTTTGCCTTCCTACCACTGGGATGCCTAACAGGTCTTCCTCAAGCTCCATTTAGCCAAGTCCCACTGAGGCTCACCTCATGGTTTTCTCCTGTGCTTATCACACTGGGGTACTGTTATAAACCCATAATAAATCAAGGAGGAAATCCTGCCCTTTGTTTACAATGTTGCTATTTATAAGCTGGTTGTGGTGGTACACACCTGCAATCCCAACACTCAGGAGGTTGAGGCAGGAGGACTACTGTGAGTTCAAGGACAGCCTGAACTACATAGCCTGAACTGACTCTATCTCAAAAAAATGAAACAACAAGAACCAAAACCAAGCAAACAAAAAGTTGGTACTTACTGAAAGAACAATGCTCCTTCACATGTTTATAAATTAATTTACTAGTACAAGTGATTGTTTGGAGGTGGGAATAGGGAGCAGACATTCTTGGAATGAGATGGAAATATTTCAAATTAAATGATTTTTAAAGAAAAGAGGATCTTTTTTCATTTGTCCAATGTGGTAGAAATGAAAAGAGATGGGAAGTCAGGGAGGCTGAAAGGAATGAGGGCTTTCTCTGATAAAAGCCTTCAAGGACTAAGCAGGTTGCTCCCTGAACAAATTACATTTCTGCTTGTGAGTGAGAAAACTAGGCCAAGATGCTTAGGTTGCGGGTCATCTGAAAGCTTTTGAAAATAACCCAGGATCTGGGCAAAGATTAAAAAGAATGCAAGTAGAGGCCAGGGATTTAGCTCAGTGGTTCCGGCACCTGCATTGCAAGCGCAAGGTCCTGAATTTGATCCCTGGTATCAAAAAAAAGAATGCAAGTATTGGTAAGAAGGTAAGGAAGCATTCCCTACATATTAGTTTTCTTTTAAGTTACTCTAAAACATCTTTAAAACTCTTAGTAAACTATTTAATTTCAGCGGCTAAATTTTTCTTATGACACAAGAATTAAGAATTATAAATCTTAGGGCCAGGGATTTAGCTCAGTGGTTCTGGCGCCTGCCTCGCAGGCACAAGGTCCCAACTTCGATCTCCAGTACCTAAATAAAAATAAATAAATTTTAAAAAAATATTTATAAATCTTGGGGCAAGGGATTTAGCTCAGTAGTTCCGCCACCTGCCTCGAAAGTGCAAGGACCCGATTTCGATCTCTGGTACCAAAAAAAAGAATTATAAATCTTAGGGAAAAGGTGAGGAGATCTAGCTGAAGTTTAGCTGAAGTGGACAAATGTCTCACTAGAAACTTGGGACCTACACTTGGGACCAAGTACCTTCTGACAGGGAAGAGCCACAACCAGATCACAGGGTTCAGTAAGGAAGAAAACCAGAAAAGGATGTGGGGGTAAGAGGGGCAACAGGAGCTAGATCTGTCTTGGAAAAGTCAATCTATGAACCCAAAACAGCGAGGGGGGGAAAACCAGTGGAGAGATGTACACTGGGGGCTGGGGGTACAGCTCAGTGGTACAGAACTTGCCCAGCACACACTGGGTCCTGGGTTCCATCTTTAGCACAGGGTGGAGACACACACACAGACACACACACACACACACACACACACAGTGATTTTCTTTGAAGTCATATAGTAACCATATGACACTAGAATATGGAATGTGTCTGATGATCGTGATGGAAGAAATTCAGAGGCATTGTGATTTAAGTGCTACCTGAAACAAAGAGTGGGGGACAGTTCACTGGTGACCTCTGACTGTTTATGAACTCTCATAGCTCAAACTCAGGAAAATACTGACTTCATTAATACTCTCCACTTCATCAAAACCAAACTTCTTCAGTTCTACCATGTGGCTTCCTTGTAACTGTCTAGCTCACAAACACAGAGCACTTCAAGTCAAACTGGCAGTTTATTCAGCTCAATGACTATTTATAGGCAGCGTAATGTGGGCCAGGCTCTGAGGTACAAGCAGAGATAAGACAGGCCCCTTGCCTTCCCTGGGACTCATTTCACCAGAACATGCCTTTTAGCTCTCTTATCTTTCTTGCAAGCACAAGCCTTTTCCTACCTTATCTGTCCTTGCCAGACTCATTTGCTCCTGCCTTGCATACTCTAATTCCTCATTGATTCATCCCTACCATTTGAGTCTGTTCTTACATCCTTGAGGACACCTTCTCAAATTAACTTTTTCTTAAATTATGACTTTATTCCTGTCTATAGTTCAACTACTTTTTGTTGTTGTAGATTTAAAAAAAAGAACTCCGCCACCTGCCTCACAAGTGCAAGGTCCCAAGTTCAATCCCCATACCAAAAAAAAAAAAAAAAAAAAGAAAGAACTACTGTTCTAGGGATGTAGCTCAGTGGTAGAATGCTTGCCTACCATGTGCAAGTCCGTGGATTCAATCTCCAGCACCACACACATACATAGACACATGAAGGACAGAAGGAAGGAAGGAAGGAAGGAACGAACTATTGCTTTTAATTTTTTGTACTGGAGCCTGAACCTAGGGCCTTTGGATTGAACTAAATCTCCAGCTCTCTTGGTTTGGCTTGGACTTGTGATCCTACTGTCTCAGCCTCCCAGAGTTCTGGGATTACAGGAGACTGCTGTCACACCCAAGAACTACTGCTTTTACAACAATAAATTATGTAAGAAACAAATCACCCGTAATTACCCAACTTAATACAACTGCGCCATGTCTACATGGACACCTAATATCTGACATAATTGTCTCAGTATAGACACAAATTTCTCTTGTGTTGTTTTTATAATCTCCAATATTCATAGCTCTACTCTTCATTGGGTGTACCACACTGGTAAATATTACAAATTTTGCTAAGAGTTTTGAACTTTAAAAAGTACTAAATTACAAACTGTATCTTTTAAGGGAAATTATAAACCATCAGGTCATGATTAAAATGAAAAAGTCTTAACTGGGTGTGGTGGCATAAACTTGCAAACCTGGCACTCAGGAGGTTGAGGGATGGGGATCGCCATGAGTTTGAGGCCAGACTGGGCTACACAGTGATTTCAAAGACAGCCTGAACTGCACATTGAGACCTTGTCTCAAAAAATGACAAAAGAGGGCCGGGGATGTAGCTCAGTGGCACAGTGCCTATCTGGCAAGGTCCTGAGTTCAATTCCCAGAACAAACAAAGAAACAAACAAAAAAGACCAAAAAAAAGACCAAAAAAAAGACAGGGAGAGAGAGAGAAGAAAAAATAAGAAAGAATGAGTCTTTCAAAGGAGCCAACTATCGTCACTGGAGGAAAGATAGCCTCTTTAATAAATGGTGTTTGAAAAACTGGATTTCAACCTGCCAAAGATTAAAACTAGACCCCTATCTTTCACCATGCACTAAACTAAAATCCAAGTAGATTAAAGATCTAAATATTAAAACAGAAACACTAAAGTTGCCGGAAGATAAGTTAGGTAGAACTTTTTTTTGGTACCTGGGATCAAACTCAGGATCTTGGGCTTGCAGGCAGGCAAAATGCCACTGAGCTAAATCTCTGGCCCAAGTTAGGTAGAACTCTTGAAGACACTGGCATAGGAAAAGATTTTATGAACAAAATCTCAGTAGCACAGGAACTAGCACAAAGAATCAACAACTGGGATCTCATCTTATTAAAAAGCTTCTGCACTGCAAGATAAACCAACCACCAACAGACAAAAGACACTAAGAGGCAATCTACAATGTGGGAAAAAAATTTTATCAGATGTTCCTCAGACAAAGGACTACTATCTAGAATATATAAAGAGTTGAAAAAATCAGACCCCCCAAAAACCCAATTCAAAAATGGGCATCCAAAATGAACAGACATTTCTCAGAAAAAGTAAAAGCAGCAAATAATAATATGAAAAAATGTTCAACATCACTGGTCATTCGAGAGATGCAGATGAAAACAACACTGAGATTCCACCTCATCCCAGAAAGAATGGCTGCTGTTAAGAAATCAACCAATAACAAATGCTGGCAGGGCTGTGGGGAGAAAGGAACCCTTCTCCATTGCTGGTGGGAGTGCAGACTGGTGCAACCACTGTGGGGATCAATATGGAGATACCTCAAAAAACCAGGACTGGAGGTTCCGTTTGACCCAGCTATTCTTCATATATGGTGAAGAATATATGGTATATGCATATATACCATAGCGATATATGCGCACCCATGTTTATAGTGGCGCACTTTGTAATAGCTAAAGCTTGAAAACAGCCCAAGTGCTCATCAACTGGAGACTGGATAAAGAAGATATGGTTTTTTAATAAAATGGAGTACTACTCAGCCATAAAGAATAACTAGAGACATTTATAGCTAAATGGATGCACACTGAGGCCATACTCTTAAGTGAAATAAATAGGACACACATGTGTAAATACCAAATAGTTTTTCTCTGGTGTGAGAAACTAAAAGTGTAAATAAAGATCAAAATGTAAAATTGATAATATGAAATAGGAAGAAAAGGTCTAAAGGGGTAGGGGAAGTGGGAGGGGTAGGGGAGAGGAAAGAAGGGAAAGGAAAAAAATAAGAGAAAAGAAAAAAAGGGAAACAAAGTCTGTAAATAGGGAGGGGTGGAGGGCTTGATGGGAGGGGAGGGGAAGGGGGAAAAATAAGAACCAAGATATATCAATGTAAAGGTACAAGTTCTCAATGATGAATGTAACTGTATTGTATACCTAAAATGTAACAATAAACTTAATGGGAAAAAAAGAAAAAGAAAAAGAAAGAGTGAGCCTTGGGTGGGGAGTGAGGTCAGCGGTAGAAGTGCTTGCCTGGCATTTGAGGCCCTGGCTTTTCTTGACACATTGTCAACATGTGTTTAGGCATTAGCATCACTAAGCTACCCGCTCTAGTTATGGAAAGGGATGTTCTTCCCATCTAGTGACATGCCCTTGGGATGAGTGTAGAGTTGAGAAGAGTGTTGTTTACAGAGGTGAAAAAAGCTACCTCTGACTCAGATGCTTTTTCCCTGATCAAACTCTTACCTTGAGAACACTTGCACTGTGTGTGTGGGGGGGGTATGTGTGATTCTGGGGACTGAACCCAGGATTTGCCACATGAGCTTCTCTACCAGAGCTACACCCCCAGCCCTACTGCACTTTGACAAAGGGCAAGCTGCTCTGCTTGTCACATGTTGTGCTTAAGTTCAGAACTTACAGGCACAGAAGTAACCAGGTTCCTCCACCAAGGTGTGTCCTTAACAGAACATCTAATTAAGAAGGTTAAAGTTGAAGCTGCATGAAGTGGCACACACCTGTGCTCCTAGCACTGAGGGAGGGTAAGGCAGGAGGACTGAAAGATCACATCCTACCTGGACCACTTAGCAAGACCTTGTCTCAAAAATAAAAAAGGGCTGGGAATATAGCTCAGTGGTAGCAGAGCCTTGGATTCAATCCTCAGCTCTGGGGTGGATGTAGGGGGAGGTGAAAAGGTTGGAACCCCATGGGCACCACACTCCTAGGAGTCATTATGGGAGGCTCCCACAGCCTTGACACTCCAGTAGCCTAGAGGGGCCAACAGTAGAAAGAGGTACCATACGCAAAAGCCCTTCTACATCAGGCGTAAGAAAGCTTATTTTTGTTTCTTTGTTTTTGGTGCTTGCAAATTTTAGTTAATTGTTCTACCACTGAGTTACACCCCAACCTCAAAAAGGCTGTTCTGAGGAGCCGGGGATTTAGCTCAGTGGTTCTGGAGCCTACCTTGCAAGCTCAAGGTTCCGAGTTCGATCCCTGGTACCAAAAAAAAAAAAAAAAAGGCTGTTCTGAATTTAAGTCAGTTTGCAGGTAGGCCTATCTTCTTCTGTTTGTCTGGCACTGGGGATTGAACCCAGGGCGTTCACACTGAGCTACATCCCCAGCCCTCTTTTTAAACGCTGAGACAGGGTCTCACCAAGTTGCTAAGTTGTCAGGCTAGGCTCAACTTTGCAATCCTTCTGCCTCAGCCTTGCAAAGTACTGGGATTACAGGTGTGGACCACCATATCCAGCTCACAGGCATTCTTTTTTTTTTTTTGGTACCAGAGATCGAACTTGGGACCTTGTGCTTGTAAGGCAGGTGGCAGAAGCACTGAGCTAAATCCCCGGCACCAGGCATTCATTTTCAAGAGGACAGTTAGTGGAAGATGATGATCTGGACAATACCTTCACCATGTGGTCTTTGCCCATTTCTGAACACGGGCCTTACAAATGCAGGAGCATGGGAGCAGAGCAGAGAGCAGCCACTTATCCAATCACTGTCACCCGGAACATGGCTTTCAAGCCTCCTCAACTCTTGTGTTTTGAGTTTGGATAGAATGATAACCTCTAATAAATCCTAAATGTCAGTTTGAAGAAACTGCTGTGTTATGTGGTATCTTTTTTTTTTTTTTTTTTGGTACCGGGGATCAAACTTGGGTCTTTGCGCTTGCAAGGCAGGCACGGGAACCACTGAGCTAAATCCCCGGGCCCTATGTGGTATCTTTTTAATTTTTAAATTTTATTTTAAAATCACTATTGCCTCACTGAGGGGATTCTTCTCAAAGCATGTTCCCTAGTTATAAGATTTGCTTGCCAAAAAATTCTTAATGAATATCAAAGGCACAGACTTGTGGTAATTCTATTTAAATCATATGAAATTCTAGTATCAGATGAATTTTTATCAATCTGCCTTAAATAATTTTAGTTTCTCATTTTTTAAGCAAGTATTTTTATTAGTCAAGTGAAATACTTCAACTTGTACATATTTTAATAGATTATAACCTCAGCCATGTGTAGCACTCACAGGATGTACTAACATTTAACTGGCTTTAAAATTTTTCTATTATAAGCTGGGTGGTGCACACCTGTAATTCCAGCACTCGGGAGGCACAGGCAGGAGGATTCCTTCAAATTCAAGCCCAGCCTGGGTTACATAATGAACTCAAGACCAACGTGAACTATACAGCAAGACCCTCTCTAAAAACCCAGTAAAAAAAAAAAAATCAAAACCTAGTAAAGTGGTTGGGAGTGTAGCTTAGAGGTCCTGTGCTCCAGCACCCCTCAGTCACATCAAAAAACCTAGTGGAAGGGATCAGTGTAGCCTTCATAGACACACAGTAGCAGAAGGCTGCTTTGCAGTTTATCTCTGTTATTTACTGACTGTATGGTGAGAGCCTGGGAAAACCACTGAAACTTAAGAGCCTCAGATATCTCAATTTCCTGAGTAAGACAGGGATGAAAATATTTATCTACCTTTTATGGCTACTGTTTCAATGCAGGGTAATGTGGGTGCAATTCCTACCATAGGCTAAGGCAGGCAGGTTTTTAAGATGGTAGTTTTCATTATGAACAACATACCAGAACCATATCCAGGGATTGGCCCTTTGGTCTGAAGGTCTGGGAGCCCCACATTCAGTGCATTGGGTACCATGTTGTCCAGGTGTGGCTTGGGCCCAACAGGATGAGATGGCGAATGCTTCATGCTAGGTTGTCGTTGCTGCTGCTGCTGCTGCTGCTGTTGCTGCTGCTGCTGCTGCTGCTGGAGAGCACTCACCATTCGAGCCAACTGCCAGGTCAAGGAGGGATCCAGGAGAAGGACAAACCATCAGCCAACATCCTGAACTTCACTAGAGAAGACTTCATAGGATCCCTTTTTGCCATCAGAAGTCAAGCCAAGTTGTGAGTTCTCCCACTGAGCTACAACCACACGTGCAGAGCATGGGGGAACCTTTCCCTTCCACGTACCTGCTGCTCTTGCTGCTGGCGCACTGCTTGTGAAATCTTTCTCTGGTTCTGGAGCAGCTGCTGCTGCTGCTGCTGCTGCAGGAGAAGCTGACATGCCTACAAAGCAAGGAAGAGAGGGGACCAAAGCTTCCTAAGATGGGCTACCTAGGAACATTGAAGGCGTCTGTGTGCTAAAGTGCAAGTCACTGAGTCAAAAGCATCAACAAGGGAAATACTGCTGAGTTTCGCGTCAGGTGGTTATGTCTACCTCTAGTTGAGCTGGTATTTCAGCTCTTACACACATTCAACAGTTTGCACAAAAGTTTGAACCAATGTCCTCAAACATAAAAAGTGACCAAGATATGTGACAGGAAATCAAAGCTAAAGGCAAAAAAGAGCAAATACCTTTTTTGGCTACAAGAGGAAATCACTACTTACCAACTGAAACTGGGGAATCTGTGGAAGCTGGCTCAGCATGGCAATTTGTTGAGGAGATAACTGGGGCCCCACATTGAAAAGACCTGGATTCAGGCCACTGTTGGGAAACTGCTTGAGCATTGAGGCAGAAACCTAGCCAAAAAAGGGGAGGGAGATTCTGAGAATTCCAAAATAAAACTTTTTCTGTGAAAAATAATCTTAATGACCTAAAGCAAGATTACCATTTTTTTCCTTGAAAGAAAAATTTTTTTTGAGACAAGGTCTCACGAAGTAGTCCAAGCTGGGCTTGAACTTGCAGTGATCCTCCTGCCTAAGCCTCCTGAGTGCTAGGTTTACAAGGGTGAGTGAGTTACCACGACCAGTCTATTTGAAAAATATGTGAAGGAAACACATTAAAGTGTTAACAACAATTATCTCTGAGCAGTAACATAAGAGATTTTAAATTTTCTTCCTAGACTTTCCAATTTTCTACAATAAAAACGATGTTTTACAATCAGGAAATCATCTTCAAGAAAAAAAAATCTGACAATGTTATTGTCTGATTGAAAAATTATTACTGGAAAGGCGTCATAAACAAAACATACCAAAATGTACAGAGAGAACATATAAATACTTACAAGAAAGTACTTCTGTTACATAAGTAAGAACAACATATGTATTAACTCCTCAGCAAGAGACACTAGAGTTTCAACTGATGACTTCTGATACCAAATACGGAGTCACAGAGAGCCTATGGAAAGAGCCTGGAGGTCAAATACCCAGCTGATTCCATCTCCCTGGGTTTCAGGAGTGAAGCAGGGTAGGCTGCTGGAAGCTCCAGTGGGATCCTCTCCCATTTTTGGACCATCCAGCCACATGTTTTAAGTGAGCTGAAACGAGTTCTCCTGCACTTTTATTCACAGAACCCACTGGTCATTTGGGCCATGGATAATAACCATAGCACCTCCCCCAAGGGCAAGCAGCACAATCAAGAGCACATGCCTGTAGTCCCAGCTATTTGGGAGAACGAGGTGGGAGGACCACTTGAGCCCAGGAGTCAAGGCCATGACCATGTCCCAAACAAAAAAACAAAACAAACAAAAACTCAAACGAGTATACTGTTAGAGGTAGTCTGACTGGTCCTGTTCCCAGCTCTGCTATTTCTAAGCTGTGGGTCTCAGAACATATGACTTATTCAACTGTTCTGAGCCTCACATGCTTTATATCCAAGACAGGAGTAATAATAACAAATTCAGTAGGTTGTTGGAGGATTTTGAGTTGATCTATGTCAAATTCTTAGAAATGTACTCCATAAATGTTCATACTATGCCATATGATGGTTCTTCAAATGTCCAGAGACACAGATTTACAGTTCCCTTGCCTCTCACCTTCAGCTAAACATGACCAGTTTTTTTCACCTGTAGCTCACTCTATTTCTCAATGAAAAGCCCAGAGCAGAAAGTCATCTTCCTTCACACCAAGCACACTTGATCACTAGTAACCATCCTCTTCAAAGACAGCATCCATTAATGATGCCTATGATCTCAGGTTCTTAGGTGATCACACCCTAACTTACAATTCAAACACTAAGTGTGTTGTCAATTAAAATCTACAATGTTTTAAAATGTCTTGCTCTTCCAAAAGTGATATTTAATATTTAACCCATGCAGCTGGGTTTTCATTTTTATTAATTTATTTCTTGATTCAAGCTTAGGACCATTTATTTAGTTAGTTAGTTAGTTTTTGGTACCGGAGATCGAATTCGGGACCTTGCACTTGTGAGGCAGACGGTGGAACCACTGAGCTAAATCCCCGGCCCCCTTTTATTTATTTTTATGTGCATGGCACACAGTAGATGCTCTACAAATACTCATTAAACAAATGAACTTCTATTGTATTTTAACCTAAGTGTCCTTCCACCAAGTTCTTTTCTCTAGTGTTATTCCCTTTATTCCAAGCCTGTGATCCCCCGAAGGGTCATCCATAGGAATGTGGAATTTGACATTGCTGAGGATAATTCGGTAGGATGCCACTAAAAACTTCCTTCCAACCTGAACCCCATCAGTCTTTAAACAGTCAATCGTTTAGTAATCCACACAACTATTTAGCCTATATTTTCCATTTCATCCAAAACAGAGACAGAATGTCAAATGGCCTGCTAAAGTATAGGTATGACAACTTTACCATTCTCACCATCCAATATTTTTAACCAATCAGTGAAAGAAGTAAGTTAAGTTAAAACCTGGTAGCAAACTATGCTTATTGCTAACTGACATAGGTGGTCACAAACCATCTTTTTAAAAAATCTAGTTTAGATTCATGCCTAGAATTGACACAAAGCTCATCTGCCTTTTAGCCATTTTTATTTTGCCTTTTAGCCATTTTATTTCGCCTTTTGGAAATTGTATAAAAATTTCCCCATTTTCCTGGTAGGGGAGAGATGCTTCTTTTCCATTTCATATCTCAGGCTCCACCTACAGGGACATCCACCTTTAGTAGAGCACACTTCAGGCCCTCCTGCCCTTCTTGGCAGCAAGCCTGAAGGAGGACTGTCCCATTCCACTTAGGTGGGTTAAGTTTGGAATTTAGCATTAGGAAGCTCACATACTCTAGTATATACTTCACTGGTAGCTCTGGCCCCAACATTACTTCCCTTTTGCCTTAAAAACTCAGTTTCAGGCCAGGGATTTAGCTCAGTGGTTTCTCCGCCTGCTGCGCAAGCACAAGCACCCAAGTTCGATCCCCGGTACCAAAAAATAAAATAAAAAACAAAAACTCAGAGTTTCAGCAGAAAGAGGGACTGTCATTGTTACTCAACACCTCTTGAAGACCTCCAACATTCCTTAAAGATCCGAGACAAGGCTCTACAATCCTTTACATAAATTCCTTCTCTGGTGTACACTTTAATTTGTCTGTAGTCCTCCTGGTTTGAACTTTTTCTTTCTTTGTGCAATTCTAGGTATTGAACCCAGAGCCTTGCACATACTTATGTGAATGCTCCACTGCTGGGTAAAAACAACCCTAAATATCCTTCTTCTCAATAGAAAAAAACAAAAGCAATAAAATGACTTCTATTTTACAATCTGTGGGCATTATACAATTAATCTAAACAAGGATTTCTTTCCCAGTCACCAAACCAAACTCTAAATGTTCTTTTAATAAGCCTATTTTTTTTGGTAAGCCTTGCCTTATTTTGTGTCCTAACCTCTAACATACCATTTATACATGTTCATCCTTGCATGCCAGAAGTGTGAGAGAATAAAATTCTATTTCCCTCAGTACTGGGAACTGATAAACCCAGGTCCTTCACTGAGCTACACCTCAGTCCTTTTTTATTTTGAATTAAGAGTCTTACTAAATTGTCTAGGCTGGGTTTGAACTTGTGATCCTCCTGCTTTGGCATCCCAGAGTGTAGAAATTACAGGTGTGTGCCAACACATACGGCTGAATTTGCTGTTTTAAGCTATATAGCTTGTGTAATTTGTTATGGTGGCCCTATGAAACTAAGACAGTAACTTTTTACAATTCACTGGGCCTATGCTGTCCAATAAGTTAACTGCTAGTCTCATGTGGCCCCCTCAACATCTGAGTTGTGAACTCTCACAGGCGTGCTGTATAAGACTCACTTTGTCAGATTACAAATGAGTCCGACTTACAGATGTTCTGCTGGAATGGAACTCGTTCCTAAGTCAGGGACTTACTGTATTGAGTGTGTGAAACACAACTAGTCTACACTGAGATGTACTCCAAGTGTATATACGTATCAGATTTCAAAATCTTTTTGTTTAAAAAGAAAGGAAAACTGGGCTGAGGATTTAGCTCAGTGGTGCCATCACCTGCCTCGCAAGTGCAAGATATGGACTTAGATTCCCAGTACAAAAAAAAAAGATAAAAATTTTAATAGTAATGATAAGGATTGACTATATGTGAAAACGACATTCTGGCTGTACTGTGTTAACACACACACAAAGAGAGAGGGAGAGAGAACAAACTAGGGTCAAACCCAGGGCCTCAAACATGGTGTGCTGGTGATTCTACCACTGACCTACATCCCCAGCCCTGAGAATGTAAAAATATATCATTAAAATTAGTTTCAACAATTTCTCTTTACCTTTTAAAATGTGGCTATTAAATTAAAATTATGTGTAAAATTACATTCAGAGCTTTTTAAAAATTACATTATGTGGCTTGTGTTATACTTCAAATTGGACAGTGCTATCCTGGCTCATCATTGTTTCCAAATTCCTTTCCAAAGTATTCTTCTGTGATTCATGAGAGCTCTTCTCTGCTTGTTTTGTTTTCCGACCTGCTGGCATCCAAAATATATGGCCATTGTCTGAGCTTTCATTTTCCTTCTTTGTTCTGTTTTACCAGCTCTACTGAACTAATCAGTGGATCTCTGGACCAACCCATTTTTCTCCAGTTTGGGAATGGATGCTATTCCTTGCCTAGCGCCCATTATTCTGTGCCCCTTCCCACCATCCCTACCATTTAAAGAAACTGCCATTTAACGTATTTATTTAAGGTATGTACCACTTAAGATACATCACAAGTATGTATTCTAGGAGACAAATGTAAGAATATTCTTAGCAGAATTGCTTATATTAGTATTAATATCTAGAAACAATCCAGATATCCAAGAATAACAGATGAGGTAAATAAATTAGGGTATAATCCCATAATGTAATTCTACAAAGACCACAACTGCCCAAAGGACCATGGGTAAATCTTAGAAATGTCAAATAAAAATAAAGGGTAGTAGGACTGGGGATTTAGCTCAGTGGTTCCTCCACCTGCCCCGCAAGCACAAGGACCTGAGTTCGATCCCCGGTACAAAAAAAAAAAAAAAGAAAAAGTAGCAGGGGCTATATAGTGTATGATTTCTGTAAGTACAAAAAAAAAAAAAGCAAAATGAAACAACTGTTAAAAGACACACACCTACAGAAGGACTAACAAAGCACTGGAGTGCTAATACATGGCATCATCTTAAAAGTTCCACATAATAACGATTTCAGAAACCATGCAAGTTACACTTATAAGGACTTCCTATCCAGCCTTGCTCAACTTCTCCCTTCTGCAGACTTTCTCTTCCTTCTTCCTCCAAGGAATTACAAAAGGACTAGAGAAAAGCAGTGCTACACTCCTGGCAAATGACTATTCATACCTGGATTGCAGAGTAATTAAAGTGCAGGTTTGTACATTCCTGATACAGGGAGTTAATTATTCTGGTTTAAAAGCGCTTCAATCTCCAGCTGGGCTGGAGAAAGCAAAGATCTTGTTGTAATCAATATGGCATTTAATGAAGCACTCCAGGTGCAAAATGACAGGAACTTAAATGCAGGACAAAACAACTTGCTAGAATATGTTACTTTCTGAATATTTGAGTCACTGAAGGAAAAAGGCAACAGTAGGAGCCCCCCCCCCCACACACCTTGGGGATGTAACCCAGGCCCTTGCACAACTAGGCCTCAGCCACTGAGCCACACCCTCAACCCTGTCACAAATTTTAAAGACGAGTTTCAGTGTCTGTTGCCTATGTGTACATTAAACACTGACTTCCCTTATAAAGTGATTACATCAAATGTAAAATTTTATATTTATCAAACATTTAAAATATCATGTAGTTCAACTAAAAAATTTCATTCTAGGCAACTAGGTTTAGAAAAAGAATTCAAAGAAAAGCACCTGAAAGAAAAAAATTGTTTTTTAAAATACAGAGATTTCATGGAAAAGAATGGAAGACTCTATGAATAAATAGCCTGTCCCCATTATACATTAAATCAGTGTTAACCATGTCTGGTTAAATAAACAAATTTCAAAAATTTGTGTGAACAATTTTTTGTTTTTGTACTGGGGATAGATCCCAGGGCTTTAGCACTAAGTTACAACCCCAGCCATTTTTTATATAGTTATTTTTTGAGACAGGATTTCACCTGGGCTAAGGTACCCAGGCTGGACTTGAACTTGTGGTCCTCCCCTGCAGCTGTTCAGAGTGCTAGGATTACAGGTGTGGAATGCCACACATAGCTTGTACTTTTCCTTTTTTTTTTTCCTACCAAAAACCAAAACAAACCTTTATTTAAAAAATATTTCATTTTAGAGAGTACTTTTCACCCCTGTTAACATTTTAGTGAAAAGAATCTTTACCCTGAACTCCAGGGAATCCCTCCAGAAATGTGAAGCAAAACTTGTATATATGTGAATCTTTTGGGGAAGAAAATTCATGGCTTTCATTAAATTTCAGTTGGATTCATGAAAGCTTATAAAACACTATTTATAGACTATAAATCTATTCAGTGTTGGACTTTTCTGTGCACTTCTGTTTGTGTGACTTCATATTAGGTAGTGAATGTTTCAAATAAAGAATTACTAATAATGAGAACGTATGGCTGAAAGATACCTTGGAAATCATCTACTCTTTAATCTTTCATTATGTGAATGAAGATTGTGATTTTTTTTTTTAAACTTGGAAGCCAGTTCTTTATTTTAAAACTAATAAAGTGACAGAACTTGGTTTTATACAAGCTGTGCCTTAGGATAACTAAACTTTGAAAGAAAGGAGAGAGATGAGGGGTGGACAATGGGGTGAGCATAAAAATAATGGATGAGCATAAAAACAAGGGATGGGGGACAGATGTTGATGTTCATTACACTACTGTGCATTTTCTGACTGAAATTTTCAAATATACACAAAGTCAAGCAGTGCATAAGGCCCTGGGTTTGACCTCCAGCACTACAAAAACCAACCAACAAACAACACACACACAAAGATCAAGCAGGGCTGGAGATGCAGCTCAGTGGTAGAGTACACTTAGCATGCCTGAGGCTCAATCCCTAGCACCACACAAATAATAAAGTAGTTCAGTTGGAATCTTCTCGCTTGTACTTTTCTTTAAGTACAGCTAATACTTTGGTTACATCTGCAGCAACCAATCCTTAGTCAAAGCTGACTGTGCTTTCGCTGTGGAAACCATTCTAATATGCATTGTTCCATGACCTGACATAATCACTGAGCTCAAAATAAGTGCCAGGCACAGCTGGAGATGCTCAGGCTCCAGGAGTGAACCAAGTAGACCAGCCCCTGACACTGTGAACCTAATACGCTCGCATGAGCAGGGGGCAGGCAGAAAGACAATGAAGAGTAAACTACTGGAGGATAAGGACATGGAGTGACCATCACCAATATGGTGATGGTGTATGGTATATAACTTGGCCTAGGAAGGCTTGTCTGATAAGATGGTGTTTAAGAGATCCAAAGCTGAGAAGAGCATTCTAAACATATGCTTCGTATGTTGGGGCCAATTGGCTGGAAAGGCATAAATGTATGGGAGAGTAGCAGGTACTGGGGAATGGTATCACCAAGAACCTCAGAGACCTCAGAAAGGATGCTGCATTCTTAGAGAACAAGCCATGAGGAGATTCTCAGAAAAGAAATAATATGATCTACTCTATGTTTTTAGAGCAGTACTATGGAGAGATTTCTGCAATGTTGAAACAGCAACTAACTAGTTGTAGCTATTTATTGTGGAGTTAATTAAAATCAAGTCAAATAAAAAATTCAGTCCTTCCAGCCTACCAGCCAGATTTCCAGTGCTCATGTGGCTAATGGCTACTACAGGGGACAGCGGGGCTTTAGAGGATCAGCCTGACTCAGATTGCAGACAGCAAGAATTGAATGAAGCAGGGTGAGGGAGGCAGAAGGTCCCTACAATAATCTAGGAAAGGAAAGGTGATGACCTGACCAGGGGCTGTACTGTAATTCTTCATGATCCAGTTTAAATGTCACTGCTAGTGTGAAACTTCATTCAATCCCCCAAACTCTATTAAACATTTCAATACATTTACTACACTCTCCGCTATCAGAAGAATACGTAGGAAACTGGCACAAATCTCTCATCCCCACCTCCAAGAAAACCAAATGACATACCTCCTATTAAGGAATAGAACGAAAGGGTTCCTATGGTATCCATAGGAATGTGTCCTACACACTTCAGCCAGGAGCCTCTGCCTCTTCATTAGCTCTGAAACTCCTTCCAGAGAATCTAGTTAGTCTTTTAACATACAATCCCTCAAAATTTTGGGAATAATCCAGAATCTGATAATTCTCCTGTACAACCAACTTCTAGGTGTTGCCATATCAAAATTTATAAAGTAATTTTGATTATATGCAATTAAAAAGTCAACATAATACAGTATTAGAAAAATAATTTGGATAAAAGGAATAAAATCAATGTTTTCATACAAAAACATCTACTTTGCATTTATGATGCAGTAAGAAAAAAGATCTAATATTCTCTTCTAATAATTCTGAATTTGGCACTCAATTTTCCACATTTTAGGCTAATAACTACCATTCATTTCATATCCACAAAACCAGTCAGTGAACAGCTGGTAACTACCTGAATGGTCTTTATTTCTGAATTGTGGAAACATAAAATTGCTTACCTGGGGGGAGATAAACTGGGGAGGCACTTGCGCCCGGAGACTAGGAGAAGAACTCAGTGGCTGCACTGGGGTGTGCAGACCTCTCGATTGTGCTGTGCTGTTTCCAAACAAACCATGATTGCTGCCCTGTAGATGTAACAGTACCAGTGAGACTTTTGTTACCAAAAGATAACACATGTAAGAAGCAGTTCTGGTTTCTATTCCTCAGAAGAATCATGATCTGTGTTCTGTGGAATCACAGCACTTCATAACTGAGAAGCTCTTCATCTTGGAATGCTGGGGGCCAGTGACTCAAATGGAGCCATGGGCATACCATTCACCATCTGAGCACCATGATGAACTCTACAAACCAAAAGGGTTACATTCAGCCAAATGTTAGAAGCAGCGCTATATTCTTTTTTTGTGATTGAAAGTTACAGCCAATATGAGATTTAATTAAACTACTCTCTTTTTTAAGGGTGCTTAATTTCAGCCTCAAACTTTATATAGCTGCAGATCCCTCTTGAAAGGTACCTGACTAGGAATACATGCTTATGAATAATACCAGTGTAAAATAACACTTTGATATCACTTCTCTGAATCAGGTAGTTTAACCATCTATCACTCATTCCAGTAGTGAGCCTAGGGCCACAAGGACCCACTCCAGCTCTGAACACCCTTCTCTGTCTTGATCTGTTCAACCCCTTCTTTGCTAGACGAGGAAATACTAATCAATTGCATAGAGATAAAAAGGGAAGAAAGGGAAAAAATAAATCATTCCATGGATACCAAAACAAATATTACTCACCTGTAACTTTTCATTCAAATGTACAACTACCAGTCCAGTTAAAGGTAAGCTCAGTTCCCTGGTTTCTGGAGGGCCACCTCCCTGAGCACATCTCCACTGTTCAATGAGAGCTACTGAAAACTGGGCTGTAAGGTGTTCCTGGCCTTCTCATTTGTTTCTAGGCAAGAAAGTCCTTCAGCAGATTTCAACCGGACATTGTGTCCTCTGCCTGAGAATGTTCCCCACATCATTTTCACTTGGCCTCTTCAAGGCCCAATGCAGAGGTCAAGACATATTCCCTAAAACCTTCTTTTTCACTCCGTGTGCAAAGTGACTGAGCTCATCTCTATGCTATCAAAACACTGAAACTCTGATAGCACCCATCAACAAACTGTGTCATAGTTATTTGCCAACCTGTCTTTTTACCACCAGCTTTTAATTGTTTTCTCTTTGCATTCCCAGAACTCAATAAAGCCCTGGTCTGTAGGATGTATGCATCATTTGCAAACATCCATCACCCACCAATTTGCACACATGAAAACATCATAAGCATCTTCAGCAAAGAAAACTGCCCCTCTGTTTATACCAAAGATATAAACTTTGAATTGAAGTTGCCATCAGATCATCATGGGGGGATAAGGCAATTTTAAAGAATTTCATGATGGCAACATTAAGTTCTAGAACACTAAAGATACTGTGATGGTAATGATTCAAAAACAGATTACAGGACTACTATAGGTAAATTAATAAACTTAAAAGCACTGAAAATAAAAATGATTATAAACATAAAGTAAAAATGGCAATTAAAATCTGTGTATCTCAGGAAAAAAAAATCAAAGATCCATCTTGAATTTTATGTCTCCCAAAGGACTGTTCAAATATGAGAAGACCTGTAATTCCATCAACTGTAATGTCTCTATTTTTCCTGTCATAATCTTCAAACTGTTGGTCTAAGATGAAATGGCTCTAACTTTCCTTGATTGTGAAAGTTGACAGCTTTGGTACTGATCATTGCCAAGAAAAAAGGAAATATTTATTTCATCAAGAATAGTCTAATAAGATTGATCTCATATTTACTACCAAAGTAATAGTCTTATGACTAAATGTCATTTATTGGTTCTTGGATAGTGGAGCTGCTTGTAGCTACAGCCTTTGCCAGATGCATGTTCTGGCAAAATTAAACTGCTTTTTGAGCATCTTTGTATATGTGTGTGAGAGAAGGGGGGAGGAGACAGAGATAGATACTGAGATTGAACCTGGGACTTTGTGCATGACAAACATGCCTTCTACCACTGAGATACACCTCATCCCTGTGGGAGTCATTTATCATTGTCATCATCATTATCATCATCACCATTAAAGACACGGTCTCACTATGTTGACTTCAACTAGTGGGCTCAAGTAATTTTCCTGCCTCAGCTTCCCAACTAGCTGGGACTACAGGCATGCACCACTGCATCCAGCTTACAGTCTGTATAAAATTAAACTATACTTTCCTCTTCCTAATAGACAGATTCTACTCTTCTTGCCAAAGTCCAAGGGTCTCTAAAGCCATAAATAGCACATTGATATACATTTAAAACACAATTAGCAAGCCGACTGAAATCTGTGATTCAGAAAATAAAAACCATAAAAATTTTATTTTTAATTATAAAGGATACCAATTAACTCTGTATAGAATACTCTGAAAAAAACCATAATCATATTTGTATAGAGCACATGTACCAAACCTAGCTATCAATGTACTTTGTAGCAATCCAAAAACACAAAAAGAGGAATGACCTTTTCTGAAAGCCCAATGCCAAGCTAGTCTGGTCGGTCTATTATGCTTGAGTTTATACACTGACAGCATTTGACAACTATGTGATCCTGGAACCACATTTGTAATCAACATTAACCAAGAGTGTCTCTTCCCTTTTTATAAAAACAGTATGTACACATCTCTGTAGAAACATGGCGGGGGTAATACAGGAAGAAAACAAAAGATTACCTACAGGCCAGGGATTTAGCTCAGTGGCACTGCCCCTGCCTCACAAGCACAAGGTCCTGAGTTCCATCCCCGGTACCAAAAAAAAAATTACCTATAATTTTCAATTCAGATATACCAATCTGAACACACAGACAACTGGAAAGCATATGAGAGAGCTGTGTGCAGCCTGACTATGGTGTAAGACATATTGCTTCACATCATCTTTAATGTACCTGTGAAAGTCATCGTATGAATGGATCCAACTAGTAATTACACACTATTATAATTAAGGTCCTCTTGTGACACCCTTAGGTGAAGGGCACAGTGACAGGTGAAGGGTCACAGAATTATGGATGGGAAAATATCCCCACTAGAATTACTGTTGGAAAGTTGCTGTGACTTCCAGTTTCTGGTTTCCTCCCCAAAAGCTGAACCAGACTATGGAGTGAGAGCCTGGTGCTGTGTGCCTCGGACCTTCGATGGGGAGGAGGCGTCATCCAACCAGCTCTGCCAGTTCTGTCTCCATTCACGGCTTTTCCTTGGAGCACTGCCAGGTTTAAGCCGAGCAAAGGGGCCACTCCAGGTCCAATGAAACTCTGCTACATTTAAGCAGTATCTCCTCCTTCCAAAGCTTCATTATGCATTACAATTATCCATCTCTGGTAATTATTGTATTTTTAACTTAAAGTTACTAAAGATTTGGGGCCAGGGATTTAGCTCAGTGGTTCCGCCGCCTGCCCCACAAGTGCAAGGACCTGAGTTCGATCCCCGGTACCGAAACAAACAAACAAACAAAACAAACAGATACTAAAGATTTTTAAGCTGAAGTTGCGTAAAAATTTCAAGATGTTGTAACCCTCACACTTAATGTTACTAGTTTTTTCCTCCACTGAACCAAAGGAGTGTCAAGCTACATTCCTAGCCTTTTTTAGAAATTTTGAGACAGGGTCTTGCTAAATTGCCCTCTCTGGTCTTAAATTTATAATTCTCCTGTCTCAGCCTCCCAAGAATGGGGGGATTCAACTGGGCCACTAAGCTTGGGTATTATTATTTTTAATTAGCAGGTGCATTATATTGAAAAGACCCACGAAATATTGCTTATTATTTAATCTAATGTTAAAAATAGCAAATATATTGCTAAATTAGATTATATAAGGTAACTTGTAACCTCATTAACATTTTTTGAAATCAGTTATTAGTCACTGGTTAAATGTGAACTCAAGACCAAAAAATGGCAAGACAAAAGAAACAGGTTTAAAATAAAATCCATGTTGAGAAACATGAAGAGAGATGGGTTCTATGGGTTCAAAGATCTAAAACCTACACTTAATATCATTCTGTGCATTCATTAATCAACAAATTTCCCAAGACAGACAAATGATGCATTCAACTGCAGACCAGAGCCAAGGCGAGGCCACAGCCAAGCAGTTACAAATTTGAGAGGCCTCCTTACTTGTCTAGCAGCGAAGTTTTGGGGGTTGAGCCCTGTGCCGATTGCTCCAAGGCTGACGTTGGGTAGTGTGGAACCAGAGGGAGACAGCTTGTAGCTGGGAGTAGGGGAGAAGGGAGAGCAGGGAGCCTCATCCCCAAGGCACCCATCTTGATTGGAGAAAGGCAAAGTCAGCTGAAAGGTAGTAGGAATTAGCCAATCACAATGAGTGTTGGTTAGTGAAGCAACAGAATGCAAGAAGGGAAAGAGAAAGACACTAGGAATAAACAAAGTAAGAGTGGATTAGCAACAACCAAGGGTGGAATTTGGATCTGATAACCATCATACTTTGCCCAATAGATACCATCTGTCATCCTCTTTGATAAAGATTTTTCTTTTCCTCTCAGTAACACATTCTGTCCATTGGTCTAAGAGTTGCCATACACTTATTTTTAGGCATCTAATACTGATTACTCTGTGTAGCTCCTGAAGCAGAAGCCATGACAATCTTCTTATGAAGACACTGCTCGCTAGACCAGCACCAATTATGTCAAAAAGGTGATAGATCTAAAAATTTTGATTTTAACTGCCTTGTGGAGACCAGGAGTACTGCAGATTGGTATTCTCAACCAAGGAATAATCTCCTCCATTAGAAATATTAAGAATCAAAACCAACAGATATAAATTATTTGTTTTAATCAGTAGTTGAGAATTTGAAAAGTATACCATTGCAACTAAACACAAACCACTGGAATGAGAAAAGATAAGAGTTCTTTCAAAAGCAAAAGGCAAGGCCTTAGGAGACAGAAGTGTTTACACAAAACCCAAAATTTGATTTGTATCTGCAAAGCAGCTAAAAAAAGAATTCAGAATAAATTCATCTCTAAAATTCGGCTACCTGATTTGAGTGTGCCTCCAAATTCATGAATAAATATTTCAAAATTTGACCTTTATCACAATACTCATTTGCTAAAGACAGATGGTTCTAGTTCCTGTCCTGACTGACCTTGTTTTCACGTCACCACCTTAATGCAGGTGATATTTGTCTTTTGCTCATTCAATTCAATAATTCTATGCTTCCTCCAGAATCAGTTCTCAAAAGACAAATGGGAACCAAAGTGCTTCTCGTAAATTACTTTAAACAAAGGATTCAACTCACCTTCTCAAAATAAGGCCCACCATCTGTGGTTCCCATGTCTTTGGAATTAGGTGGACGGAACCCAGATCGATCCTTCCTCATGATATCATTAAAATCCCCGAGATTCATTGCTCGCTTGTCCACATCAAACTTCTTATCTGAAAGAACATAAATAAAAGGGAAAGTGTCAAGAATCAGTGTTTTCTACAAGAACTAAGAATGACCTGCCACACCAGCCTTCCTGGGGTGTAGGTATGAGCTCTTTCTACTCTTTGGTTAAGACGAGGAGAACTCTCATTAGTTTAGGCTGCTAAATTTTGTCCCTGGAACACTTGTGGGTCCTCTGTAAAAAGCAATACAAAACATGTATCTGTTGCAGCTTGCCTTTCATGGGAGCTTAAAAGAACCTTAGGGCTAACCTGGTAAAATCTGGCTAAGAAAAAAACAATTTTTTTTTTTTTGGTTTTTTTTTTTGGTACCGGGGATCAAACTTGAGTCCTTGCGCTTACGCAGCAGGTGGCGAAACCACTGAGCTAAATCTCCGGCCCTGGCTAAGAAAATATTTAGACTGATTATTGGTATGTTTGATGAACACATCCTGCTCATAAACTCAAATGTTCTCAGTGAGAGAAGTTGTCTGCTTTCCTATTTTAAAACTTTTTTTTTTTGGTACCAGGGATCGAACTTGGGACCTTGTGCTTTTGAGGCAGGTGGCGGCACCACTGGGCTAAATCCCTAGCCCCTTGCTTTCCTATTTTAGCATGTGCTAGATAAATGGGGTTGTGAAATAGTTTGGGGAATAAAAAGATCAGATGCACAGCTGTTACCCTAAAATTTAAAGCTTAAGAGCTAAACACAGTTGAATATGTTCATATTACTTGCATAATATAATCTCCCAAATTCAATGATTATTCCCACTTTCCTTTCACAACTCTATACATTTTTTATTACATGCTGACATGTTCAGAACCCCAGGAGACTTACAGATCAAAGTCTGCATATTTTCCTTACTACTCAGGATTGGTTTTTTTCTTAGTTTGATTCTTTTTAAGTTCCTTCTGGGTGAGCATAGCATTACTGAGAAACTCTCCCAGATTAAGGGGTGACATTGCATATACTCCAGCTGCAATGGGAAAGTAAGTCAATAATGAGATATCTGGTGCAGACAGAACCAGAAACCCAAGTCTGGCAGCACCACACACATAATAAAATAATCTGATTAGTTTCTAGTATTTACAAGTCAGGATGTCAATACATATCTGTATACTATATATGGCCTCTCTCAAAAAAAGCCAGATGTGGCATGGGTGAGCTGGCCCTTCTTGAGCAAGGTTTTTGGTGGATGCACCTTCTTTACAGTTAACCAGTGGCCTCCATGTCCCACCTGCTTATGCCTGGCATATATCACTCCTTTACATTCTCCCCTGACTCTTGCAAGACATTTACACTCTCAATCCCCACCTAGTATCTTGCACAGAGCCTTGTACAGAGTAAGCATTCAATAAACTGCATTACCCCAACTCAAACAGGGCAGGAGATCCCAATGGCGTATCACTAACACTAAAATAGTCCATTCCCATAGGTGGAAGGATACAGACCTATAGACAAATCCATTTTGCTGCTTGGATTATCTTCACTTTGACTCTGGGAAAAGAAAAAAACCATGAGATGAGAGAGAATTAAGGGTGTCTATATTTGAATCAGGAAAGAAGTGACATTAGTAATGTGCCAGGTACATCTTATTCCTAGCACTGTATTAGATCCTCTTATTAGATCTTCTGAAATGAACTTCAAACTTGAATGAAGAATTTAACATTTTTAATATACTAGTTTGAATGCTTCTGGTGTCTATACTCCTAAAGTTCAGTTATCACATACAGTCAGCCTCAGTACATCTATGGAGAGTGCAATTGTTAAACAGCTGACTGGAGAAATAAACCTCTGTCCTCAAGTTACAGTCAGCCTAGGATCAAATTCCATTAATGGCAGCCAAATGATGACAACTTTTTCTCGTGATCTGTCAAGTCATCAAATCTTAAAGTGTCCAGCCAAGTCTTTTGGCAACCAAGACAGGGTGCCCCCACAGTGTTCCCAAGAGATAAGGAAATCAGAAATTCTGTAAGAATTCCCTATATAATTAATCCTGGTATTATTTTCCTACTTAATTTGTTGTTGTCCTTTTAAAAATTATGTGAAAACTGGCACAGCAGTGTCAGGGAAAACTGTAAATATTAAGTATCCAATTCTTTCTTCCCTATTCTCCTAAAGGACACAAAAATAACAAATTTAAAAGCCCTCACCTTTAAATGTTAAGAGTATGTCATGAAGAGTAAAAGAACACAAAGTAAATACTGTTTTAAGAATACTGTTTAGCCAGTTTCTAAATGTGCAATTTTGTATTATACATGGGAGTGGTCTTAAAATTTATACTAATCCTTAAATATGGGCTACGTTATACATATGAGAAAAATAAAACTTACCAACAATCCCATATTTGAAAACTGTTTGGCAAGAGGATTCATCCATGAATCATTGTTTCCTCCTTTTAGTGAGCACTACAGAAATGAAATACGTAACCTCAGAACCACAGTTTATCTCAACCTAAGTTGCAAAAGTACACACTGAAAATGGAGTTTACCTTTTGAATGCTATTTCTTTTTGTTTTGATATTTTATCTATTAGTGGTTAATATGTGTTATATTTATGTTTTAATTCTTATTTTTTCATCACAATGAACTAGAAGTAACTGAAAAAGTAAGTAGTTTTCTCTTTTTACATGGAAAGAAGCCACTGTCAGGTTTTTGTTGTTGTTTTTTGTTCTTTTTTTTTTGGTACTGGAGATTGAACTCGGGTCCTTGCGCTTGCGCAGCAGGCGGCGAAACCACTGAGCTAATCCTTGGCCCTTTTTGTTCTTTTTGAGACAGGGTCTTGCTATGTAGCCCAGACTGGCCTGGAACTCAAGGTGATCCTCCTGCTTTAGCCTCCTGAGTGCTGGGATTACAGGTGTGCACCACTATTCCTGGCTCGTCAGATTTTATAAGACATAATTCTGTGTACTACCATTTCCACTTCAGCAGGCTACTTACTCTCTTTGTGACCTAAGCTGGTTTGATTTGGAAGAACTGATGCCAGTGCATGTTACTTGGAAAGGCATCTGTTTCAACAGGACATTATCCTCTATGTGGATGCAAGGAGGACTCATGAGGTTGCACTTCAGCTATTTGTTTCATAGCATAAAGGACAATGGTTCCAGTGGGAGAAAGGCCTGGTGGAAGATACTATCACCAATCGCTAGAGCAAAGTAAGGCAGTAGTGGCTTTTTGTTTCTTCAATGAGACAAACTAGTTTCTTCCCTGAACAGGGCACCAAATACCTCCTCCATTTACCCTTCTGTGAAGAGGACAGTGGGATGACAAGGACTTGGATGGGTGATGACGGGGCCCTAAGTACTAAATAGTGATCTCATTATACCGATTTTACTATTCTTGAAAGTTATATTTAGTTACAGGTTTAAATTTTTAAAAGAGAGAGAAATCCCTTAATGTAGAAATAGAAGATAGGAAGTTACTGTATAAGACATACAAAATATCAAATTTTCAAGATGCAGAGAAATCTGTGATGCCTTACAGCATATATACACTTAATGCAATATGTACACTTAAATGGTTAAGATCGTGTTATGTGTATTTTATCACAATATTTTTTTTTAAGTCCGCAATGTGAAGATCACAATCACTGCTGCTGGAGCGAGCCGAAGTATCCAACTCGGAATTGACTGAATTAAATAAGTCTTGGTTGTTGCCTGATTGGGGGAATTTATTAGTACTTCCATTCAGTTAACCTAGACTCACTGTTAATTTATAAATGACCAAAAGACTGCAAAAAGCAAACTAAACAACCTAAGAATACACATATGCTGAAAAGTGTAAAAGCTGGGTGTGGTGATGCATGCCTATAACCCCAGCTGTCTGGGAGGCTGAGGCAGGAGAATCACAAGTCTTGAGGCCAGCCTGTGTGACTTAACAAGATTCTGTTTCAAAACTTAAATATCAATTCAAATTTTAAAAAAAGGCTAGGGGTGTGACTCAATGTGAAGGTCCTGGATTCACTACCCAGTACTGTAAAAAAGAAAAAAGTTTAAAATATAATTTCTTTTGTGAACACACAAAAAAAGTCCTTAAAAAAGAGAAAGCTAGAAAGAATTGCTTAAAATGTCTCTGATAGAACAAACTGTACTCTTGTAGAAGAATATTAGAGTAATTAAATCAACATCCCACAAGCAAGGAGTGGAAAGTCACTGGAAGGCCTTCTAAAACAGCACCAGGTATTTTAACCCAAGAGAATATTACCTGTGAAGCATTACACAGAGCAGCAGGGCTCACAGGCTGAGATTAAGGCTATGGGTGCCCACTGCTTACTTCTATCACTGTGTGTGTGTAACAAAAAACTAGAATGCAACAGCAAGAACAAAAGTGCCTCCATGAGACAGTGATTCAGGAGGGAAAACAATCAAAGTCTTGATCAAATTATGTAAATCCAAGAAGAAACCAAGTAGTTATATGGAAAGTGAAAAGTTGAGAGTGCAATCTGGTACAGGATGTAGAGAATTCATTTAGCTGCTTTATCAGGGCTACACACTGGCACTTCATTTTGTTGTGAGAGAGCTCTGCACCTTGAGATATCACCAGTCAGGTAAAATGGACACACTGATTGATCACCACTGAAGAAGCCAGTATGATCTTCCTTTGGTTTCTCTTCTACATAAAGATTTACTGTACTTCTTTGGCTTTAGAAGGAAAAAGCCTAAGGTATGTGCCACGAGTTTCCAATGAATAATTACAATGTGGAAATTAAAAATGAAAGACACCTCATATTTTTGAAAATTTCATTTTACTCACAGCAACGGTTCTGTAGAGTAAGATTTCAAGGTCATGGGGAAGGAAGGTGGGTAAAAAAGTAGTTATTTGTTTGGAGGGAAATACTTTCCCCCTTACTTAGAGACCAGATGCCTCATTTCTTCCATTACCAAAATCCTCAGTTCTGCCTTCTAAGAATGAGTAAGCAAACTCAAATATTTCCGAAGCAGGCTGCTACCTTCATTTGTTTCTTTCCTCCTTGTCCCCAGCTTGCTGAGTTGTGGGAGGAAGCACTTCCCTGAGAGCTGGTGGTGTTCCAGACTCCTCCATCATCCTCCTCTTCCCAGCTGGGATGGCGAGTTCCTGTGACTGGCCCGTCACTCTCCCCCCAGCCGTCTTGCATAGATTTAGAATCTTTAAGGAAAGAATAATTAATTCTCTGTGACAACTACATATAACAATAACTAGAAAAATAATTCCTTGAAGATGCAGCATTTTAGTATCTTTGTAATTCTGTCTACTCCATCCATATGGCAAAGCAAATGCTATCAATCACACTTTAGAGAACAGGAAGGGAGCCATACAATCAAGATCTGACCTCTGGTTCAATGCTTCCCCTGCACCAACTGACAGGAATTCCAAAACTGAAAAGAACGTATGAAAATTACAAAAAGATTTGACATTTCAAGAAAACTAGTTCCTTGTAATAAGCATGGATTATAGTAGTCCAGAGTTTTACCTTGACTACCTTGAAGTAGAGAATAAAAAATGTGAAAAAAAGTAAAAAATTAAGATATTGACTATATACATTAACGTAAAGGAGAAATTCACATATAGCCATAGAAATTTCATCAGAGCAGCACAAAGAGGCAAGAGGGATGGCTGGGATGCTATCCTCCCTCCTGCTAAAGTGCTGTTGGTAACCAGGACTGTTTTCACTGCATAAGGGTCACAAATTTATATAATCCTGTATTATATTTATAATCCTGTATTATGATTTATAAGCATAGGTATTACACCACCCACTGATAAGAAATTAAAAGACAAATATAAATGACACACTGATCCTTTTATAAAAATGAAGACATGCAGATGAACCATTCATTCATTCATTTATTTTCTTGGTTTTTTGAAACAGGGTTTTGCTGTGTAGTTTGGGGTGGTCTTGAACTCACTATGTAGCTCAGGCTGACCTTGAACTCACAGTGATCCTCCTGCCTCAGCTCCCTGAGTGCTGTGGTTACAGGTGTGAGCCACTAGGCGCGGTTATGAGCCCTTCTTTTAGAGAAGAGAGCTAATCTTTAACATTTTTTTTTTCTTTTTATAAAAAAAGAGTGGAGCTGGGGATGCAGTTAAGTGGCAGAGCACCTTCTTAGCATGTGTGAGGCCCTGAGTTTGATTCTCACCACTGCTAGGAAAAAAAAAAAAAAGGTGAAAACCAGAGCTCCTCTCCCTGCCCGCCCCCCCATTCTGGGGATCAAGCTAGGCAAGTGCTCTATCACTAAGCTACAGCCCAGTCCAGAGAGCTCTGATTTTTAATACAGGTCTCAAAATATCAAGTAGATGGCATCTAGAGGCTAGAGAAGACCTCAGATTAACTATCAGCATCAGCTGGATGATCTAACTCTTCCTCCATGCACTAGCCATTCAAATCATCCATATAAAGGACATGAGCCATAACTATAGATCCTAAAGAGAAGGCAATATAGAATATGGGAAAGGTGAGCATTCCATATGGAAGAGAGGTGATTCTAAAGTTGAGAAAGACACATAAAAGCCCTGAAAGTACTGTTAAAAGATCACTCTCTCCTAAGGATGCAATTACACAACTGGATCTGTTTCAAGTCTAGTAAGTGATATTCCCCATGATGACAAAACTGATGTCACAAAAAAAATCATGATTAGAACAAAAGCTTCATAAAGCTCATGATTTCTATGAAGTGGAAGAGATGCACGTTGTTAAAAATGCAGTAAAGTTACATACACAGGAATGTGAATTTCTACAATAAAGTCAATTATCCTAGTCTTCTTGTGGCACCGTAAGAGTTCCAAGTAACAGTTTAAACTTAGCCACAGAACCGCTTTTCTTGTTCAATTCTGAGCATTCCTTAAAATTTCATTATTTAATCAAAAGATAATCCCTTATATCGGCTATATAGTAGAAGAGAGATGTTGAAACATTTTAAAGAAAGTTACAAGCAAGTTGAAATGGGTACTTAGGGTTAAACTTAATATTGAATTTCTCAGTTTAGGAATATCCAATGAGGTATTCCTCAGCATCGGTCTACAAAGTTTTGAGTTATGATGACTACGCATACCCAGCTGGATCAAGTGTAGCTTAGATTTTTAGTGATTATGAATAAGTACAAAGTTTTTTGTTTTAAAAAATTAGAATGAAGAAATCTGTGTCAGGTTCAAGACCTAAAATGTTCTTATGTGGACAGATGAATGAGAAAAAGAGACAAAGATGAAAGTGAAAGTACAGAAGGATGAAGATCCTGTGTGGCAGAGGCCATGTTCCACACATTAAAAGCCTGGGTATTCTTATTTTTAAGTATACTAACAGCAGAAATGCAAAACAGACATAGAGAGCATATTTAAGTTACTGGGTAAAAATGCATCACATCAAAATTTCAGTTCTGGCCAGATACCAAATCCAGGTTTTTAAAAAAAAAATCAACAACATTAATTTATGACTTTTAGTTCATTGTAAACATTTTAATACATGCCAAGAGAAGTCACTGACATTTGATACTATTTATTTAATGTTCTAGGCCCCAAATCTCATTGAATCAATAGTTTTAAACACTAGCCCTCATCAAAATGTCTGACTTCCAAATTAAGAAAGAATCCCTCAAAATCAAAAATGTGGTCTACTTACTGGGTTTCATGGCATTGGGAGCGTTGGCGGGTGTGTTCCCCCAGCCCGTGGTCGATGCTCCTGCATCATCCATTTCTCCCCACCCAGGACTGCTTTCATTCGGCTCACCCCAAGCTGAAGTCCCATTATCTGGAGCAGGTGGTGTGCTTTTGCTCCAGACTGTGAAAAGAAATGTGTCTCTAAGAATGGTCTGTTAAACACCTGATATCCAGTGGGATGAAGGTGGTGGGGTCAGGCACACCCACTTTCTCTTGGCAGAAATAGACACAGGCTGAACCTTCATGAAGAGCATCTGGCAATGTTGGTTTTAAAAAGTTCAATGCGCGTTACTTTTGACCCAGTAACTCTATTGCCAGGAAATTACACCAAAGATATGTGTCAAAGTAGATGAAATTACATGCACAACAATGTTCACTGCATCACTGTTAGAAAAAAATTTGGAAGTAACCTAAATATCAGATAGGGACAGGTTAGATGAACTGTGGGTCCCCCATAAAAGGAATACTATACATGAAGCAATTAAAAGACAGAACTGGATATGCTAAGACAGAAAGCGTAAAAGTAGATGAAAAAAGTTGAATAACACTGTAGAAAGTATTATCCTTTTAAAGGATAGATATGTTTTGCCGTAGATAAGAACACCATTTATGAACAAACTCCTAAAAGATTACCTACGGGGAGAGAGATACAAGGCACTAAGACTCCAGCAATCTTTGTTTCCTTCCTTATTCTTTTCAATACATAAAAGAGTAATGATTTCCTATTTGTCCATAATTGGGAGTTACAGAACACTAAGTTTACTTTGAGTAGAAAACTGATTATTGATATTATGGTTGATTATTATTATTTGGAGGATGGTACTGGGAATTGAACCCAGGGAGCACTGAGCTGCATCCCCAGGCCCTTTTGAGGCAGGGTCTTGCTCAGTCACAGGTTGTCTAGGCTGGGCTCAAACTTGCTGCCTCAATCTACCAAGCATCTGGGATTATAGGTATGCACAACAATGCCCGGCAATATTATGATTAATTTTAACTAAAAAGGACTTCAAATATACATCCCCTATGGGAAATTATATGCTTCATGCGAACATTCAGGTCAAAGAACCATTTGTGTCAAACTGAGCATGAAAATACCTTATTACTTTAAACTTACAAGATGTGCTATTTTCTATTCAAATAGTGAGGGAATAGAGTTTAATTTTGGATAACTGATTATCCTGAAATAACTTATCTCTCAAGCAAAGTATGGTCCCTTCTAGAGGTAATTATTAAAAGCCACCTGGAAAGAGACTGCAGTTGTCTATACAACAGTTTTGCCACATCATTGCAATGACCCCTGGAACAACACAGACTACTTCCCTTTGTTGGTAAAAGAGAGGCACGGAGGATGAGTTCACAGATAAAACCAGAATGGAAATCTGGTCTGCTTCTGCTACAACTGTAGTTCTTTATTTTTAAATCTAGAGCATAGTTTGGCAAGATATAAATCTTTTGGATTCTACAGTCCATTATGATTGTAAAAAAATAATTCTGGAACTAACACTAGGTTGCCACCTTTTCCTTTTGCCAAGAATGAACACTATAACATACTATCAGCAGCTGCCAAATGCTAGCAACTTACAGCAGAGTTCTCTTAGCAACAGAGTAGGAACTGTAGGAATGATTCTCAGAACATAGCTAAATTGAATAAATACACTTTAATAAAAATGCTTTGGTTTAGGATTTCTTTTATCAAAACCTGTGAGAAAAAGCCATTGCTTACCCGATGCTGATTTTCCGGTCATTGGGGTGGGCAGGTTTGGTTCTCGAGGTGCTGGGGCCCCTTGGGAATTCTTATCCCACAAGTTCACATTCTTGTAGTTATAACTGTTAGGGTCTCCCCATGCTGAAGTGCCATCATCAATGTCCATTTTCCGACTGATTGACTGCGGGGATGGCTCTTCCCAACCGCTGGGTTCCTCATCCTTAGGGGTTGCGGGCTGGGGCCCGCTGCTCCAGTTGGAATTGGAAGGTCGAACATTGCCTGGAGGTGGTGGGGGTGGGCCTCCCCATGAACTGGAAGCCTCTGGTTGTGGTGTTGGTGGCTGCTGTGGCTGCTGCTGTTGGTGTTGTTTATTCCAGGAATTGGGCTGCCTGCCTGTCTCATTCCATGCAGGGGATCTTTTGCAATCTTCCCACCCACCTTTTGAAGCTAGGCTTGCATTCCCTCCATTACCCCAAGTTCCAATTTCATTCTGCCCTCCTTCACCCCACCCAGCCACAGGTTTACTTGCAGAACTTTCCCAATTGCTGTTCTTTGCTTGATCAACTTCCTCTCCCCAACCATTCTTCCCAGAAGTCCATCCTTGATTGGGTTGTCGTCCACCTCCCCACCCCTGATCCTTGCTGGGATTCTCATTCCAAGAGGAAGGTGTCTTTTCATCTGGTCGTCCTCCTCCCCAGTTGGAAGAATTGTTGTTCTTATAGTCATTCCAGCCTCCTGTATTCTTGGGGTCTTTCCACTCTGTCGAGGCTGAGAGCTCCCCCCATCCAGACTTCATTTGATTGCTTTGGCTGGGTGCATCTCCCCAGCCCCCTGAGTTCTTGGTCTGTGTGGCAGCGCTCTCCCACCCCTCAGTTCCTTTGTCAGATTTCCCCTCAGGCCTTGGCACCTCTTCGATATCCCACACTGTGTCCTGCTTAATTTGAGTTTGGCCCCAGCCAGTGTTTGAGAGCACCCTAGGGTCCAAATCAGTTCGGCTCAAAAGAGTCTGCAAGACAGCCTGGCAATCAGGATGTGTGGGCCTGTATGACCGACGGCCAGAATTATGACTGTCACTACTTCCTGCTTTATGGTTGCTTCCAGTGCTCTGACCTCCAGCTTCACTTCCTGTGGAGCTGGAAGATCTTCCCCAACAGGGAGCCTGGGCATTGCCTTGGTTTTCAGGGAGGGGGTGGCCCTTTTGATTGTCCCATGCTCCAGTGCTAGAATTTGGTTGGTTTGGACCACTCCATTCTTCAATTTTCAACTCATCAGACCCAGTAGGCTGTTTCCATTCTCCCTGAGAGACCCCAGATGCCATTTTGTTCCCTTCACCCCATTTGTTGTCATTAGAGTCCTGAGGGCCAAAGTTCCAGGACCCACCCGTAGACCTGTTTTTGTTGTCCCAAGAATCATTTTTTGACCCAGTTGATTTCTGAACAGAAGCTCCTTTCCAGGAGTCCTCTCTATCTTTTCCATTGTTCCCATTATTTCCAGAATTGCTTTGTCCAGAGACTGTGTCAGTTCCAGAAGGCCCCCTAGCTGCACCCCAAGATCCAACACTCCCAGTCTTTCGATCTCCAGTGCTTTGTGAAGGGGCATCAGTGCTCCTGGAGGTGTTCCCCAAGCCCATTCCAAAGGGCATTCCCTTATTCTCCATGGGGTTTGGTGAACTTAAGTTCAAGGAGTTAGTGTTTCCATTTTTTGGTCCATCAGTGTTATGAATCTGAGCCTGTTCTCTGCCAGAGACAACAAAATTAACACCCGCATTTTCCATCTTTGACTGCTGTTCCCTGGATGCCTGACCTACTGTGCTAACCTGTGGACTGGAATTACTATTATCCGTTTCCAATGCCCCTTTCCTAGAAGTTCCTTCTTGGACCAGTGCTGGCCAGGCAGATGGGTTGCTATTTGGGTTAAAGTTGCTGAAGCCAGAGCCAGGTCCAATTCTATCCTGACCACTCACATTCCTCCAATTACCAAGTCCATTGTTGCTCTCTGTAGTAGAGTTGGAAGATTGAACAGATTTAGCCTTAGGGTCAGATTTCCAGACCCCAAGATTACATTCGTTCCCAGAACTTGCAGACTGGCACTGGCTCCCTTTGCCTTTGTTACTAGTGGTGCTTCCTGGCAGAGTGCTCTTCTCAGAGCCAGGATTCGAGGCACTGTTGTTATCGGTGGTGTTTTCGGAAGAAGATTCAGTGTCTTTGCTGGCAATACAAGGCCACTCTTCCATGTTAGACCCGTCTACAATCACCTTGTCCCAGATGTGAATTGGGTTGGGGGAGGTGCCGTTGTTGGAGGAGGCTCCCGTGCCCCAAGTGGAATTTGCATAATTTGAAGCAGCAGCACCTCCAAGGGTTGACTCTGGGAAAGAGAGCATCTCATCAGTCACAGCTGCACATGCACTGCAATCAATGCAGTTCCCAGCTCTAACTGCCTCTAGGAGAGTTCATTTGGGCTCCCCATAGGTTGGCTTCTTCACCCAGCTGCATTGCTTGGTTGACTGTATCACAACTGTCTGAGTCATCTCTTCTCTCCCATTTGCCTGTTGTTATATTTGCTATGTCTAACTTCACACACTCTCTCAAAGCTACCTCCTTGCTACCCTTAGTGACAGAGAAGGACCTTCTTGTATCCTGAGACAAATGCAATAGTGCCCTCAACTTGCTCTGTATCTTTTTTGTTGTTTTTTTTTGAGGCAAAGTTTCCCTATATAATTCAAGCTGGCCCTGAACTCACTATGTAGCCCAGGCTGTCCTCGAACTCTTGGCGATCCTCTGGCCTCAGCCTCCTGAGTGCTGGTATTACAGGTGTGCACCACTGTGCCCGGCTTGCTCTGTATCTTAAAGCTTCTCTAATACAGCTGACAGCAGTCATTTCTCTGAAACATATTTTTGATTCTGTCACTGCTGTCACAGCCTTTTAACAGTTTCTTAATGCACAAGAACAAAGCTAAACTCCTTGGCCTGGCATTTGAGCAACATGCTCTATGACCCAGGGCCAACCACCTTCTTCTAATCTATAACTTTCTATGTAGATGTCATTCTATGTGGATGTGCCTTCTTACCCTGGCATCATTCCACGCTGGCACCTCTTTTTTCCTCCTGAATTCACACAGTGAAATTTACCCCTTTCTGGGCCTAGTTCAAGTGTCATTTCTTCCATGAAGCTGCTTTTGAACTCATCACCTAAAAATAAGCTTTCCCTGTCTAGAGCCTTTTTCCCAGGGCTATAGCATTCTGATCACATCTTTCCTCCCCATGTAGTGCCTCTTTGTTGGAGACCCTATCTTGCTAATGTGTCAAATCCACACAGTGGCCACTACAGTGGTGCTCAGTAAGCATCTGGTGAATGATGAGTGCCCAATGAGCTGGACGTTGGGGCACATGGGCAAGAATTGTTCCCCCAGGAGCTTACTCTGATAAACCAGTCAAGCTCAGATATATTTTGGTGTAATTTACCACATTTGGTGTGTGTGGGGGGATGATTTTTTAATGAGATAATTTCTTCTAAATGTATTTTAGCTCCTTTAACTAGAAAGCTTTAAATCAACATGAAGTTGAAAAAAGTATTCTGTAGAGCTGTGTAAAGATGAAGAGGCACAGAATCCCAAACTCTGGAAATTTAAAGGGCTCTGTGGTTTTAACTGTAAACAAGAGCATGACTCACAGCAAGTCACCATGTGCCTGCTTAGGTCTGGCTATACATGGCTGCTGAAATGCAACAAGACTTTCCCCTTACATGCTTCCTTTTGCAAGTGGTCACCAAGGGCCAGGCAGGAAGGGCTATGAGGCCTTTCCCTGTACACCCTGAGCCTTGTCTGCCAACTCCTACAGGGAAGACTCTTAAGTAGAGTTATTGCTGCATGCGACCTGTGTCACCGCTAGGTTTTCTTCTGTCTTTACTCCACACACAATGAAGAAGTGACAGAATTTTCTAGGCAATTCTTTGGTCAAGATGAGAGTTGAAATAAAGCATCTTTTTTGGGGGGTGGCGGTGAGGGTACCAGGTACTCAGGACCCCTCAGCACCAGAGCTACATCCTCGGCCCCAAAATAAAGCATCTCATCAGTGACATTATGTGTACATCACAGTGTTTAACAAAACTCAAAATCCAGAACCCTCAAAAGAAACACTGATTATTTAAAAATATAGTGTACAACTACAGAATAATACTATTTAGTGAAGCAATGAAAGGCCTGACAGCAGCTAGCATAAGCCTCTCTACCAGGAGCACAGTTCAGGACCCTAAAGCCCAGCTTCAGAGAGGCATCCATGCACATTTCATCCTGGGATCCTCTCTCATCTTCTGAATGATCCCAAAAATCTAGAAAATCAATGGGTTTTGTGGACTTTACAATGGAGTCTGCCTTTAGAGCTGCTGTGCACAGCCCACGATGCTGGTACCTTACCTGGTGCAGTCCCACTCTCACTCTGCAGCAGCGTTCCTGACACTTGTGCGTTGTTTGGGTTTGCTCCAGGTGCTGTGCAGGGAGGAGGCCCTGCCCCGCCCCCAAGGAGCATGCAGGACGGTGGAGGGGGCTGTCCACGTTTTAGTAACACTTTGTGGTCCTGCTGGCAACGGAATCGCGGAGGCACCTCCCGAGGCATGTAGCGGGCGGCGCTTGGCGGTTGTCCGTTCGGCACTGCCACCCTTTTGGCATTGTTGCCACCATTGACTGGTGGCGATGGAGAGCTGCCAATTGGGCTGGCGGCCGTTGGTTGGCTTAAACTTGGTTTCGTCACTTCGGGCACTGAAAGAAAGGGTTGAGAAAGTCTTTGAGAACAAACACATTTTTCTAAAAATCGTTAAGAAAGCTTACATGAGACCAATTCTAACAAGACAATTCTTTCACTCTACTCTCAAAGGAAACAATCTTCCCAAATTCCTGAAGACAGGGTTAAGGAGTAGCAGGCAGTGGTGATTCAAAGACAGCAAGATCATAGAGTTACATCCCATTGATTAAGGGGAGGGGGAAGCAACAACCATTATTCACTCCACTAAATGAACAGCAGAGTTAATTCCCATGAAGGCTGCCAGCAGGTCCATGGTAGGCCTCTTAGGCTCACACTTGTGGTCCCTGGGCTTAACACTCCCTCTGTCCTTCTGTCTATATTTCACCACCACTAAATTTACCAGGTTATATCAAAATAATCCAGTTACAGCCCCTCTCTTAAACTGGCCCCAATTCTCTCAAGCCAGGGACCATCATTCATCTTAGGGCCTGGCATACAGCAGACACCTTTGAGGAATCTCAGGCCTGAAGAATCATAGAGCTCCACTTGACTTTGGTTCCTACAGCTGCCTGAACTCAAAGTCTTGCTCGGCACTCTGTATAAGCATTAGAAATGACATATATCTTTTAGCTTTTACCCTCCAAATTTTTATTTTAATTAATACAAAAATTTCAAAATGCAGATATGTTTCCTATTTACTTTAAATAATACAACTTTACCTTACAGACAGCATGAGAACATGAAGAACCACCATGAAGCCATACTCTGTGGGACCCCTCAACCCATAGAGGTTCTCTGTAGATCTGCACCTCCCTCTTTCATCCTCAAAAAAAAAACCACTACCCTTTCCAAGAAAATCTGCCAGCAAACAGAGGCTGGCAGTATTACAGAAATAATCTGAGGCCCAAATCCCTGCTACCCAGAATAATGCTGGGACCAGCTCTAGTGGCAGGACTGCTTTGACTGCTGAAATGATGCTGGGCCAGCATGTTTTCATTTAACTGGCTCCTTTATGAGGAGAGAGATACATCATCAGAAATCAGGGGCCCAATCTATTGCACCACAGACCACTAGTGAATATTGAGTGACAGACGAAAAGATGCATGAAGCAAGATCCAGGCAACCCCTATGTCTACCCTTAGCCAACTGCAAGGCTAAGGGTACTGGCTTCCCAGTCAGGAAGGAGTGGGAGGCCAGAGGACCCACAATCTGATAAGCAGAACAGACATGAAACTTATGAAGTTAGCCACAGTCTAATACTTATATAGTAGCCTCTGTAGGACCTCTAGCAGCTGATGGGCAAATAATACGTAAATGAATGACGATTATTTAGGATCACTTTCCCATCTGTTTCTGGAAGATTCCACATGACACTGCCAATGCTCTTTTCTCTTATTATGAGAATATGCAAGAAGCTGGCAACAGCTGGGTGGATTCTTCCCAATTTATTTTTAGGATGGAAGGAGTAATGTTTCTATGAGCTTGCCCTTCTATAAGAGGGCTCGAATCTTCACTTTACATTAACAAGGCTGGCTACATGCTTTAACTCATTTTTCTAAAAGAAAGAAAGAAACAAAAAGCAGCTTAAACTGCTGAAGGCCAAATACCAGTTTGACTAAATTTACAACATCCACGGTATCATTTCAATAAAATGAACCTATGGGCATCATATACTGTGCAGGATTCCTTGGACAAGTTCCTCAGGGCACTTTCCCACTATATCACAGACAAGATTATAAACAAATTATAAATTATAAAATCACTTAAAAATGGAAACATGCACTGGGCATGTGGTGCACACCTGAAATCCCAGCATTCTGGGAGGCAGAGGTGGGAGGACTACAAGTTTGAGCCCAGTCTGAGGATGTAGCTCACTGTGAAGGTCCTGGGTTCAATCTCCAGTGCTATCAAAAGGGTAGGGGTGTCATTATCAACCACTTTCCTCTACTATGGTGCTGTTCTGGGAGATCAGTCATTTAAACAACTTCTGGGGCACAGTCAGAAAAGCCCACAGGACCATGTGAGCCATAGGCTAATGTGTTTCAGGACCTAAATGGATCCTGGATTCTTATTCTATTTCTTTCGTTACATTTCTCTCTTAATTCAAGAACTTTAAACATACAAAGGTCAATCAAAATTCTTGACATTTATTGAAGAGCAACACAGCTGTTAGGCGTGATCCAACCTGATTCTCTAACTCTAAAACTAAGACGTCAGAATCACCATGTTTAAATAAAAAATTAGTGTATACACTTCGAAATGTTCCAGAATGTCAAGATGACAGAAGAAATTATCATACACGTGAAAGTGTTACTTTGGAGGCCCTCTCTTTTCCACATATTAATGATTTGCAGGTTAATTTCTAAAGATGAGCTATTCAAAATGAGGCCATAATTTCTTATTTTCCAGAGGAAAAGTCTGTGGCATTAAACATGGCCTCGGTATCACAGGGAAATATAAACACTGGAGGAAAATACTGGGTATCTTATTTTCTAATTTCTACTCAACTTACTTCTAAAAAGCATTATACTGTATCCTCTAATGACTGAAACTTTCCCCTTCCCCATGCTCTTTATCTTACACTATTCTATCTTACAGTCTGAACTTAACTGCCCCATTCCTGACAAACATCAGTAAGAACTTTTCAGTTAAAAGTATTCTTTAAGAAATTTCTGAAAAAGGCAAGCTTCTGAATTTTTTTTTAGTACACATGCATACTGAATCCAACAACTGCACAGGTACAATACAAATTACTCTTTCCTTTAACTCTACTGATGGAACAGCAATAACAAAAAATCGCCCAGAGATGTTTTTAAAGTACAGTAAAAATACAAATAAGGTCTAGAGCAGATACCACTGTGGGCTAACAAACTGAACATCTCAAGCCCACTGACCCACAATGAACAGCTGCAGTGCTGAACAATGCTCCATGGGCTTCTACGCACTGTCTCCATCTCTTTACCTTCCATACACTCCTCAACCCCAAGCTACTCTGGCTTTTGCCCTCAACATTTCTCTCTTATTAAGTTGATAGCAGTCTTCACTGCCAGGCTAATGGACACTCGCTGGACCTTTGCATCTTCAATTTGTCTGCAGCTTCTGCCAGTATTGGTCAGTCACTCCCTCTCTGTGAGAGACCCACTCTGGCTACCTCTTTAGCTCTTCCTCTCTCATACTTTGTGCGCTTCTCATACTCTGGATTGGGGGTCAGCAAGCTTTCTGTAAAGGGCCAGATAGTAAATATTTAGGCTTCACTGGCCTTAAGGTCTTCATTGAAACAATTCAACTCTACACTTGTAGAGTGAAGGCAGCCATAGACAATGTGTAAACAGAGTGTGGCTGTGTTGTAATAAAATTTTATTTACAGATACTGAAATATGAACTTTCCTATCATATACTGTTCTTTTTTCCTCCAAAACTGAAACATATAAAGAATATTCTTAGCTCACAAGCAGTACAAAAACAGGTGGCGAATCAGATTTGGAGCACAGTTGGCAATCCCTGCTTTTGACTATCTTCTTAATCATACCTGTAAAATGGAGGCAGAAACTGGCTATGAGGTGTGTCTTTAAAAAAAAATGTAGCTGTGCATAGTGGCAGGTGCCAGCAGTTTCAACTACTCAGGAAGCTGAGGCAGGAAGATAGTGAACTTGAGGCTGACCTGGGCAACATAGCAAATAACAGAAACAAAAGCAAAACCCAAAACAAAACCGAGGGCAGATATGGTTAACAAAAAACAAAATGTGAGGGTGAGGCCTGCACCCTTCCCAAACTTAAGTTACTTTAGCATAAACTTTCTAATGCTGAAGTTTTAACTAGCAGTTGTGTGATTTACTGTCTCCAACACAGATCTCTTTAACCGTTCCCTTTCCCTAGCACAATGCATGAAGTCATGACTCAACTGTGCTCAGGTTAGCACCCTAACATCATCTATCTAAGACTCCTCAATCTGCCCCTGCCCCAACATGCACAAGAACCCCTCTATCACCATGACTCTCAACCAGGCAGTCTTCATTGCTTCCCATCTGGACTATGTTGGTGCTCACTATCTATCTGAGCACTTAGCTTAGAATACCTCACATTCTTTTACTCTCAGAGGCAGCCAGTTCTGTTTCTGAACAAGTGGGTGCCCACGATTGTATCAGAACATACAGGCATTTCTACAAGGTGTAAGGAGCTGGAAGTAATTCATAAATGATTTATGTGGGGGACAACCCTTCCAATATTAGTAAACTGAGCAGACTCCAGGTTATTTCGGCCATCACCACACAGTGACTGCAATATGCCTCTGGAATAAGTTCAGAAGACAGAATTGCAGCCAATGGACTGCACTGGTGCATAACCTCAGATGTACTGATGGGAAGTGCTATCCTTCAGGTGGGTGCCACTGGGACAAAGAGACAAGGTTATGATTTATTGCTTTGAACCACAATATCTAAAGATTTTAACTTACACTGGGTTGTAAGTTGTAGGGTTGCTGCCCTATTGCTTTGACTCACCCTTGGGACTTGGGGTCAGGATAAGTGTCACTGAACAAAACTTACATCAGATATTTACTATGGAAATGTGAAATGTGAGGCACAAGAGCCTTGCACATTTTTAGGGACAATACCTTAGGTTCTCAAGATGGGAAGCCTGCCTGGGGTTTAAACCTTCCTGGGGTGACAAATTTCATGACCACCCTGGCCCAAAGTGCATGTGGTCCACGAGGTTACTCTCTGGTCCTTCCCATAGTGTGGTGCCCATTACAGGATCTGTAATTTCCATCCTGGATACTGCTTTTCTACGAATGCAGCTTAAGGATATGTTAGTTTCTATAAACCAGTCATTTCATACCGATAACTCTTATTAAGCCAACCATCACCCTAATCAACACCTTTTGATAAGGCTAAACTGCTATAGCCAAATTCTTCCATTACATAGTCTATGCATTTCAACTTCTTAACTCTAATCTTATTCTTCATCCTGTTAAATTTCAACTTGTTAAATCTAATCTGTTATATCAATTCTTCAAAACTTTTGATTCTAATACGGAATAGGAGGATCTGAGCTTCTGCCTAAGGTGTTTTTTCTTCTGCTGCTTGAGGAGCAGGCCCAGCTCTAGTCTGTGCCATCACAGAACCTCCACCCGAAATCCCTGTCCTATTCTATGCCCAGATTTCTCCTTTTCTTTTTTAATGATGGAAAATAAAGGAAGATATGATGAATCCATTTTTTTTTCTCTGAAATACAGAAAAAGCTTACTTCAGTCCTCTGCACAACCCAAGACTTGGGCATCAGCACAGTCTTTTCTTTTTTTCTTATAGGGTCTGCTGGGGAAAGAGGGGTAGGTTCAGAGTTTAGGGGAAACAACTTGAAGAAAATACCACTTTGGGTAGAGAATCAGACCCAGAAAAATGTTCGCTGAGGGAAGAAAAGAACAACATGTAGAGTACCCAACAAAGATGAAGAAGTGGCAAAACAAAAACAAAAAACCTAGAAAGGCCAAGGTTATTTACAGCCTAACAAACCTCAGTGACAATTTTTATTGTTATTTTCTGTCTCTTTCCTGGTTCTAACATGTATATTCTTTAGGAGACCTGGAACAGGCTCTCAGCTCACTTTAGGATTATTTGACTTTACTCTGGGATTGAGGGGGTGGGGGACAAGGAGAACATGGGGACTGTAAAGCAGTATTCCATCTATGGCAGGCATAAAAAGGACCCTAAATGGAAGGGAAATTTGGTAGTGAGCAGAAATTAAGTTTTATTTTGTTGTTGGTTTTTTTTTTTTTTTTGGGGTGCCGGGGATCGAACTTGGGTCCTTGCGCTTGCACAGCAGGCGGTGAAACCACTGAGCTAAATCCCTGGCCCCTAATTAAGTTTTATTTTTAAGACTCTGGTAGAAGAGGAATATAATTTGGAACAGATTGCCAAAAACCAAAAAATTAAACCCACCCACTTTGCGAAAGAATGTCTGATAGATTTTGTTTTCCAACAGAAATAGGAGTAACTTGGTTCTACAGGATAACTAAAACTTGGCTTCATGAACATTAGACTTTTGGCCAGGCACAGGAACTCAAATACCATGCATGTTTCAGCAACCACAGAACCTAAGCTACCCAGGAAACATCAATTTTCTCATCTACTGTCTCTATAAATCAAAAAGTCCCATAATACGGACACTGTACCACTATAAATAACACTGTTACCATAGTAAAAGCATAGTTTATATTTCAATCAAGTGATTTACAAAGGTAAGTCCAAAAGAAAGCCTATTTTTGGGCTGGAAACTAGCTGAATGAACAAGGGGAGAACATTATCTTCTCTAATTAATTAAGAGAATTTTAACTAACAATGGTTTCTCTGTTTACTTTCTAAGTTACTACAAAATTTCAAGCTATACTCTTCTGTAAAATGTCTTTTTGTTGTTTTGGTGGTACTGGGGGTTGAACCCAGAGTCATCCTACAGAGTTACATCATTAGCTCTTTTTATTTTGAAATACGGTCTTGCTGAGTCTCCCAGGCTGGCAGTCCTGCTTCAGCCTCTCCAATAGCTGGGATTATAGGTGTGCAGTATCAGACCCAGTTTGAAATGTGTGTGTGTGCGTGTGTGTGCGCGTGCGTGCGCGCATGCACGTGTGTATGTTACTAGGGATCAAACCCAGTACTAGTGAGCTACATCTCAGCCCGTTTTATCTTTTTACTTTGAGACAGTTGCTAAATTGCCCAAGGGGGACTTGAACTTGTGATCTTCCTGCCTTAGACTCCCAGAATGCTGGGATTATAAGTGTGTGCTGCCATGGCCAGCTTTGAAATGTCTTTTGATTAAAAATACATTATAGTATTATCTACTTATCTGAGAATGTTTCCATAACTATGTTTCCTAAGAAACCAGCACTATCTTGTATTAATCCTTCTATCACTTTGTGACATGCTTTGGCCTGGCAGTCCAACAAAACAAAGGAAGAAACCAATCATTACAGGGCTTTCCATCAAGCCTGGACCTCTCCTCATCACCCTTATTCTCTCCCAAGTTATCATTCACATCCAGGGCAGTGGTCTTTATGTTCTAGGGTTATCCATGAAGCTTTTCAAAATACATCTGTTAGGGGACATAGCCTGGGATTGTCAAGGTCTAGGCTGTTATTCTAATGCATGCCTAATTTACAACAACATATGTGGGTGAGTATGTATGTGCATGTATGCCCATGTCAGCAACAGGAACTATCTCATTCTTAAGGAAAATTGATTAAAAGTATGACAGCTACCAGGTAAAACTATATAATCAAAAGTAACAGGCTATGGGGCCGGGGATTTAGCTCAGTGGTTTCGCCGCCTTCTGCACAAGCACAAGAACCTGAGTTCGATCCCTGGTAGCAAAAAAAAAAAGTAATAGGATATGGCCAGGGATTTAGCTCAGTGGTTTCGCTGCCTGCTGTGCAAGTGCAAGGACCTGAGTTTGATTCCTGGTACCAAAAAAAAAGTAATAGGATAGAAAATGATCAAGATACCATATATACATATCCGTTCCCCCAAACAAATTATTATGTATCACAAACACATACCAATAAAAAATTTTTAAATTAACAGAGAAAGAACTGAAAAGACATGCACCCTTAGGTTGAGCACGACATGGAGGTCACATGCTTTTGTTTACAACATTATCACACTATTTAACACATCATACAGAGTTAACCTACTCAAAATGTATTGTCTTTTAAAAAAGTATATTCTAGGTTCTATCTCAGAAGATAGTGTGAACTTTCTAGGTGTCACATTCCAATTTCAGACTTAATGCAAGCACTCTGTAGTTCTTATCTAAAATGAAAAGGTGATGTTTTATAACTGTTCTACAAAAACTTAAAAAGGTTCAGTTCAAAATCATGACTCACATAGTTTTAAAATGAAATATTTACTTTTTTCCCTCTTAACAAATTTAAAGCCAACTAGAAACACTAACACAAGTACTTTTAATTTGTCATTACTGCTTTTCAATGACTACAAACAAGACACCTTAAATTACTCTACACCTACTCTTTTGAGTAGATTGGGGGCTGAGTCAGCAACAGTGTGAAATCTAAACACAAAAGGTTCTTATGGGTTAAAAGGGGGAAAAAAACCTTACCTTTGGTTTTTTGTTCCGTGACCTGGAAAACAAATGGATATAAGTAAATGAGATCTGCTTTTTAATTCAATGTAAGATTAATTTTGATAACTCCAGTAAGTCAAGATACTCAGTGCACATGCATAGTTAAAATCCAGGAAAAGAAGCTGGAGGTCAATTCACATGTCCTTCTAAAGACTATAGCCCTATGTCCAGCTGTAGCTTACATGACCACCTCTAGAAAGAAGTGTAAACATTTAAAATTTTTAAAAGCACACCATTCTTATTAAATGATGAAAATGCTGTTTGCCATTTTGATTGCTATGACTACAGAAAATCAAATGGATGGGGCCCAGAAACTAAATTAGCCATAGAGACTAAAAGATTCCCCTAGGAGTATGGACTCAAATACTTTTGATCTCAAATCTTAAAAAACAAAAACTCAGGGACCCATCACAAGAAGCATCAGAGATCAAGACAGGCAAGCAGGATTCAAAACTAAACCTTGCCATTTCCTGGCTGTGTGATCTCAGTTTTCCACTTATCTGCTGAATGGAAATAGTAATAGTATCTTGTAGGATTAAACAAGATATCCTATGCCAATGCTTGATACATGTCTGCTGTTATCATCAAAGTTTATACAAAATAGCATGAAGTACAGTAATAAGATTGAAGTAAATATGCATATTTTCAACAGTGCTTTGTTAAAAGTACATTGTACAAAAAAAAGTATATTGTACAATAACTAAGACATCTATGGAAGTGATTAACATAGAAGGTTGGATGGCTAAATATAAAAGTGGGTTTTGGACAGTCTGGAGAGATGTTTGGGAGTCATAGGGAAAACTGCTTCTGATACTATTAAGAGGGTAAAATAAAAAAAGGCACCTAATTATACATACCCTGTAATATAAAAACAAAGCCACAAAAAGTCATGCATAAGAAACACATCGAACAAGAAATATGCTAGAATTTGAACAGTGGTTACATTACACTTTTAAAATCATGGGTGGCTGATTCAGACCCACTTTTTCCAACTGTCAATCTACTAAAGCACTTTTATATTGGTTATCTGGCTCTTGTAATAAAAATTATTAGAAAATGAATATTGCAATCTTCTTACAAAAAAGGTTTGGTTATCTGTAGCTGGTGGTCATACTGGGTAACTGTGTTGAGGTTCATGAAAAATTATCTTTGGAAGGTACATCCTGTAGCTGACCAGCCTACCTCGAAATGGATCTACGCATACCTCTATCAGATCCTGAATCCGAGCTAAACAATTTACTCATAGAATCTCCTAGATGATGCAAATGAAAACAATGCTGAGATTCCACTTCACTCCAGAAAGAATGGCTACTATCATGAAATCAACCAATAACAAATGCTGGTGGGGCTGTGGGGAAAGAGGAACCCTGCTCCACTGCTGGTGGGAGTGTAGACTGGTGCAACCACTGTGGAAATCAGTATGGAGATACCTCAAAGAACTAGGACTGGAAGTTCCATTTGACCCCGCTATTCCACTGCTGGGGATCTTCCCCAAAGAATTAAAAGAATCATACCACAGTGATATATGTGTGCCCATGTTCATTGCAGCACAGTTTGTGATAGCTAAAACTTGAAAACAGCCCAAATGCCCATCAACTGGAGACTGGATAAAGAAAATGTGTTTTTTTTATAAAATGGAGTACTACTCAGCCATAAAAAATGAGAAATTAGAGACATTTATAGCTAAATGGATGCACAATGAGGCGATACTCTTAAGTGAAATAAATAGGACACACATGTATAAATACCAAATAGTTTCTCTGGTGTGAGAAACTGAAAGTGTAAATAAGGACTAAAATGTATAATAGGTAATGTGAAATAGGAAGAAAAGGGGCAAAGGGGAAGGAGATGGGAGGGCTAGGGGAAAGGATAGAAGGGAATGGAATTAATATGAGAAAATGGAAAAATAGGAACAAAATCTTTGTAAATAGGGAGGAATGGAGGGGTTGAAGGGAGGGCTGGGCAAGGTTGAAAAATAAGAACCAAGAGAGACTATGTAAAGGTCCACATTTCCAATGATGAATGTCATTATATTGTATACCTAAAATGTACCAATGATTAGAATGAATAACCGATAATGTAAAATAGGAAGAAAAGGTCCAAAGGGGTAGGGGTAGTGGGAGGGGCAGGGGAAACGAAAGAAGGGAAAGGAAAAATGATGAGAAATGGAAAAAATGGAAATAAAGTCTTTGTAAATAGGGAAGGGTGGAGGGGGTGAAGGGAGGGCTAGGAATGGGGAAAAAATAAGAACCAAGATGCATTATGTAAAGGTACAATTCCCAATGAGAAATGTAATTGTGTTGTATACCTACAATGTACCAATAAAAGAATTTAATAAAGTGCAAAAAAAGAACCAAGATGCATTATGTAAAGGCACAATTCCCAATGAGAAATGTAATTGTGTTGTATACCTACAATGTACCAATAAAAGAAGTTAATAAAGTGAAAAAAAAAAAAAAAGAACCTCCTAGAGTGCTTCTTACATTCCTGTGTTAAAGGACAAGCTAATTTTACTGTATTAAATTTGTAGAACACAGTGTTTTAAAAATGAATGTGTTTCTTAGTGCTAACTGCTACAGAGCTCAGTTCTACTGAAAATTTCTTTGTAGTTTCTCTATAATCCCCACAGCAATATAGGTTTTATATTACCATAAATACTTCTTAGAATGCTATTCTGAAGATCAGTTACACAGAAGTCAGTGCCTTCCCCAGTTGTAAGCAACAGACCCAAATAATGTCAAATATGTCTTATAATGTGGATTCTGTTAAATGAGCCAACCCCCAGATGGTGAAAATCTGGATGGCCAAAGCATGTGTTCTGCCAACACTACACAATGCTCCTTCAGTGGCCTGAGGCTTATGAATGAACGGAGGCCTTCTTAACACCTCTCTCATGAATGAAAATCTAACATGGTTTACCCAGGGATGGCTGTCTGGAAAGTGCAAACTGCTACAACCATTGAACACAGTGGGGAAAGCTCATGTTTAATTTCTGTGTGGAAATAATTTTTGCTTTGAATAAATGTCAATGCTTTAAGAAAATCATGTTTCCACCTTCAGTTTTTCTTTTTTTGCACGGTGCTGGGGACTAAACCCCATGCCTTGTGCAGGCTAGGCAAATGTTCCACCACTGAGTACACCCCTAGCCCACCATTATTCATTCTTGATGCTTCACTTATTTATTAAACAAACATTTTCTAAGTGATTATTCTGCACCAGGCACTGCCCTACCTACTGGCAATACAAATATAAATGAAACTTTGAGCAACTTATAGCCAGTCTAACGCAGAAAATAGATGCAAAGAGATAAAGCACTGGGGTACACAGCATGAAAGATGTGGAAGCACTGAGAAGAGGCCCCACTGATGTGTGCTAACTGACTGATTAATAGAACCTCTGGCCCCTTCTTTACAGTTCTTCGCTCCATAGCACATTTTATGCCTCCTAGATGTCTTTACAGTAAGGTTGGAAACCATTAAGACTATCACATGGTAAGCTTTGTGCTTTCTCCTTGAAACTGCTAAATTGGAATTTAATTCTGAAATCATGCAACAGCTCAGTATAATAAAATGCTACCAAAGGCCATGTGTCAGCCTTGATTCTGTGTCATTTGATCTAGAACAATATTGAACAAAAATGATGGAGATTTCATTGGTAATAAATAATCACATCAAAACTTTATGGAGATTTGTTTCTGCTATGACTTCTTAATTTTCAATGCAGATGCAAGCACACAGGGGTACTGACCACTTGCACATCCTCTGCATAAATAATCTCAATTTACCCACACTCTCCTACTTTAAATCACTTTCCTATTAGAATCGACAAAGTTTATAGATGTATATTTTATTAATCACTTCCAGACACTATTTTTGATTTAAGAAACCACTGTTATCTATGTTAGGAATGAAGATGGAATGCACATTGTTTAAAACAATTGCTCTGTTTGTCCTCTATTGTCGGCAGGTTCTGCTTGAGATCCTTTGGTGTCCAGCCTATCAACTGTCCATTCCCACAGAGTGCACTGATTTTCCTACCAATTTAGTAGGCAAAATATATGAGTGCCCCGAAGAGGAAAGGCATTCTCTGAGGTTCTGTCTCACATCACTCAGCTGCACACCTTGTCAGCATGTGCACAGCACAGGGCAAGAGCCCAGAGGTCAGCCACACCACTAATATCCCAACATGGGCATCAGCATGTAGCAACCTCAAGGATGGGGACCGTACCTGTGTATCCAAAATGAAATACAAAAAAGCCTCTGGACTGTTATCTGGATTCTTTACTCAGAGACTTTACTCTAGAATTTTGGACAAGTTTAACAAACTTAGATGAGCAGCAGCACTTGCAAGCAGGAACCCTGACAGCATGAGGATGGATGTGATGGATAACACATCACTATTGACAGACACACAATTAAAAGCAGACAGGGTCGGGGATTTAACTCAGTGATGCCGCTGCCTGCCTTGCAAGCACAAGGTCCTGAGTTTGATCCCTGGTACCAAAAAAAAAAAACAAAAGCAGACAAAACCTTAAAGTGTACAGCAATCTATTACAGCATCAAATAATGAATGTTCCTTTTAATTAAGTCATAACAAAAAGAAAAAATTATATTTCATATGTTAATACAGTAGGGTCATATGCAACAGAATTCAGGAAACATTTCCAGGATTGTTTTTATGTTGGTCCTCACAACGATCTATTTCATTATCTCAAAAAGTTATGAGAAACGCTGTTATCTAATGATGCTGGGGAAACTTGCATATACCCCGCATTGGCATGGGTCCAACTGCCTTGCCTCTGTTCCACATCTAGAGTTGCTTGCAAACATCAGAATAGTTTACATGTCCCTAAGCTGAGCCTGCGTTTGAACCTGCCCACAGTGAGACCCTGCTTCTCAAGTGCTTCAAGTAGCAGAAACAAGAACTGGGAGCAAATTGCTCTTCTTCCCCAAAAGATACTGCAGCAATGCTGCTGAGCCAGTAGTCCAAGGCAGGTGTTATTAAAAGGATGGTGAGGTGGAGGAAAGAAGAGCAGATGATGGCCTGTGCAGGGGGCCAGTTAGAAGTAAAAGGGGTGGGCAAGGCATTCTAACCATTTTGCTTCCAACAGCATCAAACACTTCCACTGAGATCTGACAGCTGACAACTGTCAGCACTATCTCTTTTCATTTAGCTTCTCTTTCTCTAAGCAAATTTCTAAAAGCCACTTGATGTTCTATTCCCTAAAGTACTATGCAGGTCCACTAAATCTTGTTTTTTGGGGGATATTCTGGATGAAATTGTTATTCAACATCTAAACAACAGTGCTATGAGTGGACCAAAAGTACACCCAGGCACATTCTAGCAAGTTTTTGTTTTTTGGTACTGGGCATCAAACTCGGGACCCTGAGCTTGCAAGGCAGGCAGCGGAACCACTGAGCTAAATCCCCGGCCCATTCTAGCAACTTTTGAAAAGCCAGTCTACTAGCCTGTTTAAAAAAGTCAATGACAGGTATGGTAGCATATGCCTGTAATCCCAGCTATTTGGAAGGCTGAGGTAAGAGGATTCCAAGTTTGAGGCAACTTAGCAAGAGATGTAGCTCAATGCAAAGTCCTGAGGGAGGGAAGGAGGGAGGGAGGAAAGAAGGGAGGAAGGAAGGAAATCTTTAATATTTTAAAATAAATTTTTAAAAGGGCTGGTAGTAGAGCACCCCTAGTTAAATCCCTGGTACTGCCTCCCCATCAAGATTGAATTATGATACAAACAGGGAAATGTGACAAGAATTGAGAGTCAGCAACTCTGCCTTTCTCAATACTGTTTACTGTCGTTTTCACAAAGTCAACCACACTATTAACATTCACTTTACGATCACAAGGGCAGAACTTAAACTGTTCCCTAATTTCAAATTTTTAAACTTTTAAATAGACTAATCTCCCAAGTAGCAATATTGAAATGTAAGTATCCAAGCCAAGACAGTCATTTATCCTTGATGTTTGGCAGATGTAGAGACAGACTTAACTGATTAAACTCACCTTCTGAGTGGCTTCTTTTTTCTTTTTATCCTCTTTCTTCCTTTTCTTGTCTTCCATTAACTGTTCTTCCCTTTCTTGCTCCTTCTCTCTGTTAAAGCAATGTCATACCAGAAAGTTACACATTTATATTTACAATACATTTCCATAGCAAAGTTCATCTCTGTGACTGCATAAAACACAGTATTTTACTTAAACCAGAAAGATGCATAAAACTTAACTACATGTAGGTATTACCACATCCTGGTCTGTTAGCCCTTTTATAAAACATTACGCTAAGTCTGGTTTCAAGAAATCTATTAAAGTAGTTTTTATGGTATCTGCTATCTAAAAGAACACACACAAGATTAAAGTATTTGTACTCAGCAAAGGATCTGATTTCAGTATGTATGACAATATTCAGTTGGTGTTATGGCTTATATCTAGATGTCCCCCAAAGCCTCATGTAGTCATGGACGGAGCTTTTCAGAGGTGGCTGGATCTAGGGTGTATGATGTTGGCATCAAGGATGTGATGCAGGAATTGCTTCATGGTGTGATGCTAGGATTAAGGGTGTCCCACCCTGGGTGTGAGGGCTCCCTGCCCCAAGGTGAGCAGCCTGGATAGAATGCAAGGATAGATGCTGTTGTCACTGCTTCTCACTTTGCTGCTTCCTCGATATTTCACTGCTCTGCTGCCTTCTGCCGGCCATGGACTGTTTTTCCTCTGCAATGCCCCTCTGCCATACCATCCTACCTCATACCATCCTACCTTGGAGTTAGCCTACTATGAACTGAAACCTCTACAAACTGTGAGCTACAATAAACCTTTCTTTCTTTAACTTTGGGTGTTGGGTATCCTGTCTCAGCAGCGAGAAAAGTAACTAAGACATCTGGCTTCTGGCAGTATCTCCCCCCTCCCCACAGTACTTCTAACAAATAATGCAGAATATATTAACTCCATTATTAAATGTGTATATGTATATGTATATAATTTAGCTGTTTGCCCATGATCTCTTCAGAGTGGTAAATACACAAGTCTTTGTTCTATATGCCATATTTTCTACATTTATTAATACAATATGATTTCCATATTTTCTATCTGTTTGCAATACTGAGAACTGAACCCATGGGTGTTCTACCATTCAGCGATACCCCTGCCCCTTTCCTTTTAATTTTTTAGAAATTTGAGACACAGTGTTGTTGAATTGCCCAGGGACACCTCAAACTTGCTGATGCTCCTGTCTCAGCCTCCCACATCGCTGCAAGTAAAGGGCATGTGCCATTGTGTTTGGCTCTGCCTGTGCTTTTAAGACAGATACTGATTGTCCTATAAATCAATATATTCCCTTTGGGTGAATTCACAATTGAATCTTCCTGTATACATGAATTATGTCTATCAGGGTTCATTCTACCCCTTTAAAATACAAAATACACAGTAATAAGTATTCCAGTTGAAGAAATGTGTTAAAATCTTAATTTGTAATGCGAAAAGTAACTTTGAAACATAACATTTATTCTAATGCCAACAACTTTCATTCTACATATCCACTGGGAAAACCACAGAATTAACCCCTTACATAACTTTAATGCTCAAGATAGGAAGCCCAGATATGAAGCTAATTGAATTTCAAAGGTGGAAGAAGAGTTAGAGGTCTAGTTCCCAGTTCCCCACTGCATCAGATACTGCAGGACTGAGGATCATAGGTGATACAACACATCAAGCCCATGGTGATATCATACATATCACCTAGAAGGTGAACCAAATTAAAAGAAAAGTGTTAAGGAAATAAGTTTGTAAACAGCAAAAATCACAATGATGCTTTCTGAAGGACTCAAGTCTTCAAAGATCTAGTTTAGGGCTGAGGATATAGCTCAGCAGCACTGTACCTTCCTGGCAAGTGTGAGGTCCTGAGTTTGATCATAAGTACTGAGAGGAAAAAAAAAATCCAATTTAATATATTTAACCTATTCAAAAGGAACCGAATGCCAAAACTGAGGCAGGCTCTTATGATGAATAGGTAAGTAATGTCTCAGAGGAAATTTTAGAATTTTTTTTCTTTTTGGTTTTTTGAGACAGGATTCTCACTATATAGTTCAGGCTGGCTTTGAACTCAGTATGTAGGCCAGGCTGGTCTTGAACTTATGGCAATCCTTCTGCCTCAGTCTCCCAAGTGCTGGGATTACAGGTGTGCGCCACCATGCCCGGTAGAAATAAGAATTTTTAAAAAATCATTTTACCTACTTGTTGTCACTGACTCCATATTTACAAATGTTAGCTTTTCTCCTCTGTACTCCTGGGCATAAATATACAAAAGCCTAATATGCAAAATCCACATTCTAAAACTAATGTCTGTGAAAATATTAAAAACACAATGAAGGTGCTGAGCCTGGTGGTGCATGCCTCTCATCCTAGCTCTTGGGACATGTGGCAGGAGGGCTGTGAGTTCAAGGCCCCATCTCAAAAAGACAAAACAAAACAACAACAATACAATCGAGGAAGAGATTCTGCAGGTTTCTCTTGATTCAGCTTATGTCTCCATCAGTCTCTCAGAGAAAACTGAGTCGCAGCAGTGCAAGATCTGAAAATGGGTTCTGAAACTGGCCACACGGAGGGTGACCATCTAAGGCATGCTGGCCACAGACCCTGCTAGATTTGGCTCCAAGGGCTTCCTGATTTTTCCAGTTGCAAATGGAAAGACAGGATGTGGTTCTCCATCACCATTACTATCACTTAGCTTCCGTATTTTATAGTGAAACAAGTACAGAAAAGGAGCAGCCACAGCCTGGATATCTGTGTTTAAATATTCAGCACTTTAAAAAGCAAACTGTCATTTTTTTTCTAAGTCTAAAATTACTCTAAGATTAAAAGTTTATTTTAAAAATGCAGCGTAAAAAAAGTAGTAAGTTCACATTCTTTAAAAACAACTAACTTTTTAAACATTTTCCCTATAAACAGGTAATTCAGGGAAAGGGATTGAAATTCATACTCACTAGATGTGGATTTATTTCCAAAACAAGTATTTTTTTAAAGCTTTCCAGGAGACAGGCTAGGCTTTCACTGATTTTTTACTGTGCATCTTGGTAGAATTTAGTCTTCTCCTTTTATTTCACTTCCTTAGGGAGAATTTATTTTTCCAAACCTGACTTTTAAAACCTGCCATTTTAAAAAATGAATCAAATGGTGTCAGATCACCTGCCTTCAAATTCAGGGATGTTCTACCTAGGCTGCGTATTAGCATCATTTGAGGAGCTATAAAAAATCCCTATGCTGAGTCAGAGCCCAAGCAGAGTGAGGAGGACATTCAGACAGTGGTAACAGGAGACTGGTTAGAGCGAATGACCCAATAAGTAAGTTTATTAAGGACAATAGCATCCAGGTTTCACACCACTGAAAAAGGAATTATATAAATGAAAAAGATCTAAATTAGTTATTAGCATGAACTCATCATTTTCAATACACAGAGACAGATATGAGACAGATACAACTATAAATATAGATGTAACTTTGCACATGTACATATTCCTTCATGTACACACATATACACACTTAAGAGAGTTATTCCCTAGCTCTGCCATTATGACGGCTACCAAAACAAACAACATCCAAATAGCAATAAACTGACTTAGCACCTAGAATTAGGGCTTCTAAATACCATTATTCACTAAAACAACCAGAGCACTTTGGGAAAACAAGCTAACTCTGGGGCTAGGGCAAGGAAAGTCCAAGATGATCCTAGGATGTATGTCAGCCACAAAGAAAGTACTCAAGGAATGAAGGAACATGTTAAATGGTCACAGAAGACAGTTTGAAGGGGTTTCAAGGAGCTGAATCTAGGACAAAATAGCTATCAAAATGAATAATAACAGGGGCCGGGGATTTAGCTCAGTAGTTTCGCTGCCTGCTGCGCAAGCGGCAAGGACACAAGTTCGATCCCTGGTACCGAAAAAAAAGAATAACAACAAGAGCTTATAAACTATTGTATAAATTAGGAAAACACAAATCCATATATACAGAAGAAAATGAATAAATCATCAAATGACAAGAAATAGAATATTTACATAGTTTCAAAGCACCTCCCCATAAAATATTTATTAATTTTAAAGGGGAAAAGAGTACCTGCAGAAAAAGAGAAGCCCAGAAGAAGATATCATCTTAACAAAGTAACCCATGTGAATGTCCTCAGCAGCAGGACAAACTGAAACCGAGTTCCCGGATAGGACATGGTGAGAACAGTATGTCACCTCTGTGATATTCCTTTCAAATATGTGCAACTTGAATATTATTATGGGGAATTACCAGGCAATTCCACATTGAGAGACATCCTACAAAATAACTGGTTTGCAATCTTTAGAAGTTTCAAGCCACAAAAGTCAAGAAAAGCTTGAGCAATTGTTCTGAACAGGAAAAGACTAAGGAGAGAACCAAATGTTGCAGGGCCAGTGGGGTACCTTGGCTGGGGGAGGATGGGTCAGTCAGTGAGTGGTGAGGTATCAATGATGATCTTTTCCTTAGATGATTACATTGCCGGTCTACAGGAGAATGTTCTTAGAAACATACGACAGTACTGATAAAGGGCTGCAAATGATAGTCACCGGGTCAGCAGTTTATTCTCAAATGACTCAGGAAAAAAAGCAGCTTTTCAAAATCATACAGATTCAAACTCTGTAAGTTCAAGATTGTTTCCCAAAACAAAACAAAAAGAAACCCAAACAACAAACACAAAACTACTGCCCAGGCAGCACTCCAGAACAATTAGATAGAAATCACTATGATTTTTAAAGCCCCCTGCCAAAGGGTTCCAATATGTAGCTAGGATTGAGAATGACTGATAAGAAATTCTCATTCAAATCTACACTTTAAAATATTTCAGGTATCTAACATGAGCTGAGCACTTTTCTAAGCTCTGGGATATGACAGAAAACCAGGGTGCTTACCCTACAGCAGAGGGGATAGGCAACAAACAGGATAATAACAAAATTTATGTATAAAGCATAGATTTCAGGGGGCAGGTGTGTGCCCCAAGGAGGCCAGGGCACAGTGAGCTGATGGAGAATGGCAGGGAAGAGGGCCCCACCTTCCACAGTATGGTTAGGAAAGGACACTCCCACA